GCCCAATGTTTTAACCGCTAGGTTACCTGACACCGGAGCATATATATTTTGGTCTGGTAAACCATCTGGGGGACTTTGTAGGGGTGTGGGGCATCAGGGGGGTTCTATGTACAATGAACGAGGAAGGGGCTTGATTCTAACTGTCTAGGTCGTTTAAAATTAAGTAATGTTTGTGCTTTTTAATGATGTAACTATTGGGCCAATAAAGGTACTGTATTTTTTTTATGGGAGTACTAAGGAAATAATTATGTTTAAGGTGTCACAGAGATCATCTATTTTCGTCACAATCATAGTTTTTTGTACATTATTAACAACAGAACAAGTAATGTCCTTATGAGAACAAGTCATTAGTCATACTGTGTTATTTATGAATTTCTGCCGTTTTTCATTGTTTATTACATTGTGTGTGTGTGTGTGCGTGCGTGTGTGTGTGTGTGTGTGTGTGTGTGTGTGTGTGTGTGTGTGTGTGTGTGTGTGTGTGTGTGTGTGTGTGTGTGTGTGTGTCTGTGTGTCTGTGTGTGTGTGTGTGTGTGGAACTTTAAGAGTCGCTTTAACACACACACATATTAACCGCAGTGTTAGCCGTCCATGATGTTCATACAGTGTAGCAGCAAATAATCCCCTCTCTCTCTCTCTCTCTCTCTCTCTCTCTCTCTCTCTCTCTCTCTCTCTCTCTCTCTCTCAAATAATTTCAATTCAATTCAAAGGGCTTTATTGGCTTTGGAAACATATGTTTACATTGCCAAAGTAAGTGAAATAGATAATAAACAAAAGTCAAATAAACAATAAAAACTGAACAAGAAACATTACACTCGAAAGTTCCAAAGGAATAGAGACATTTCAAATGTCATATTATGGCTATATACAGTGTTGTAACGATGTCTCTCTCTCTCTCTCTCTCTCTCTCTCTCTCTCTCTCTCAATTCAATTCAATTCAAGGGGCTTTAATGGCATGGGAAACATGTCTCTCTCTCTCTCTCTCTCTCTTTCTCACACACAAACATACACGCACACAGAACAACACACAGAACCACACACAGAACCTCACACACACACAACCACACACTCACACACATACACACGCACAAACACACTGGCTAACGCATCTGTGCCTCTAAAACGGCAGCTGAAGGGGATCTCATGTTATATTTAGCTCCGATAAACATTGAGAGCTTTATGATGATATAGCACCAGGCTGTTGAGGGAGAAACTGGGAGAAAATGGACACAGTAAACTGTGACTAAAGATGAGGAAATAAACCACCTGCCTGCTGGCTCTCTTTTCTCGACAACCGCAGAATGTTTGTGTGTGCGCGCGCGTGTTTGGGTGTGTGCGCTTGTGCGCTTGTGTGATTCTGTAATTCTGTGTTGGACATGCAGACTGGTTCATGCTCAATAAATAGCTAATATACTTCAAAGCCTTCAAATGCTGTTATCAATCAAGTCAAACAGATCACAATATGTTTCCTGTTTTTTATAGTACGCCCATGAAGACTGTAACACAGATAAACAATAGAGAAGCATTATTCTATCAACATACTGTAGGGTGTGACTTGCACTCTTGCACCTCCCTGTGGAGGGAGATTCTACAGATGGTGCAGGTGCGACATATGCCTGACAACCCCCAAGGCGGTAGAGCACCCCCTCACTTACTCACTCACTCGGTCACACACACACACGCACGCACGCACACACACACACACACACACACACACACACACACACACACACACACACACACACACACACACACACACACACACACACACACACACTCAACACAGACACACACAATCACACACACACACACACTCACACCCTCTGGCCTTGAAGGGGTTCAACACACACAACCATATTCTCGTAACCACACACACACACACACACACCCTCTGGCATTGAAGGGGTTCCTCTTTCATTCTCTCATCTGCTCTAACACTTTTTAATATGTGACATCTCCCCAACCTCCCAAAGAGAAGTAATAACCATTCTTCCTCCAGAGTACTCCTATTCAGAAAACACAGGAGACTTAGAAGAGAGACAGAAAGAGAAGAAGAGAGACAGACAGAGACAGACAGAGACAGAGACAGACAGGCAGTGAAGGCCCATCAGCTAGTGTGGATTGGGCTATTTCAGTCACACCAGTTGCTGACAGGTTTATAAAATCGAGCACACAGCCATGCAATCTCCATAGACAAACATTGGCAGTAGAATGGCCTTACTGAAGAGCTCAGTGACTTTCAACGTGGCACTGTCATAGGATGCCACCTTTCCAACAAGTCAGATGTCAAATGTCTGCACTGCTAGAGCTGTAAGTGCTGTTATTGTGAAATGGAAACATCTAGGAGCAACAACGGCTCAGCCGCGAAGTGGTAGGTCACACAAGCTCACAGAACGGGACCGCCGACTGATGAAGCGTGTAGCGAGTAAAAATCGTCTGTCCTCGTTTGCAACACTCACTACCGAGTTCCAAACTGCCTCTGGAGGCAATGTCAGCACAAGAAGTGTTCTTTCGGGAGCTTCATGAAATGGGTTTCCATGGCCGAGCAGCCACACACAAGCCTAAGATCACAATGTGCAATGCCAAGCGTCGGCTTGAGTGGTGTAAAGCTCATCGCCATTGGACTCTGGAGCAGTGGAAACGCGTTCTCTGGAGTGATGAATCACGCTTCACCATCTGGCAGTCCGATGGATGAATCTGGGTTTGGCAGATGCCAGGAGAACGCTACATGCCCTAATGCATAGTGCCAACTGTAAAGTTTGGTGGAGGAGAAATAATGGTCTGGGGCTGTTTTTCATGGTTCGGGCTAGGCCGCTTAGTTCCAGTGAAGGGAAATCTTAACTGACCGGCCCAGAGCCCTTGACTGGCCTGCACAGAGCCCTGACCTCAACCCCATTGAACACCTTTGGGATGAATTGGAACGCCAACTGCGAGCCAGGCCTAATCGCCGAACATAAGTGCACAACCTCACTAATGCTCTTGTGGCTGAAAGTCCACACAGCAATGTTCCAACATCTAGTAGAAAGCCTTCCCAGAAGAGTGGACGTTGTTATAGCAGCAAAGGGGAGACCAACTCCATATTAATGCCCATGGTTTTGGAATGAGATGTTCGACGAGCAGGTGTCCACATACTTTTAGTCATGTATTGTAAGTAGAGGAGAAGAGTAGAGAAGAGAAGAGAAGAGATGAGAGGAGAAGAGAGGAGAAGAGTGGAGAAGAGTGGAGAAGAGTGGAGAATAGTGGAGAAGAGTAGAGAAGAGAGGAGAAGAGAGGAGAAGAGAGGAGAAGAGAGGAGAGGAGAAGAGAAGAGAAGAGAGGAGAGGAGAAGAGAAGAGAAGAGAAGAGAAGAGAAGAGAAGAGAAGAGAAGAGAAGAGAAGAGAAGAGAAGAGAAGAGAAGAGAAGAGAATCGTCTCCTCTCAGCTCCTCGTCCCTCCTCGCCGTCTCCCCCCCCTCCTTCCTCTAGGAGAGGAGCTGAGTGGAGAGGAATGCACCCCATGCTAAGCTTCAGCGTGCATACAGCAGGATAGAGACGTTGTTCATGTCTCGCCTGTGTGAGTCCCCCCTGGGGGGCAGAGGGGAGAGAATAGTAAATGAACAAGAGTAATGGATTAGGTTTAGTGTTAGTGAGGGGTAGGAGCATTGTGTGGTGAGGTGGTGGTGGAGAGAGGGATGGGGTATAGAGGAGAGGCACAGGAATATGAAAGAGGTAATCTGCACAGAGGGATGGATTTGGGCTCCTGAGCTGAGAGAGAGACGAGAGAGAGGAGGAGAGACGAGAGAGGAGAGAGAGGAGAGAGAGAGAGGGACGAGAGGCGAGAGAGAGCGGGGGTGAGAGACGAGGAGAGAGGAGAGAGAGAGAGAGAGAGAGAGATGACTTCTGACTTCTTCTGTTCTGTTATGGCTGGGGAAAAAGTAAAGGAAGAGAAAGAGAAAGAAAGTCCACTCAGGATAGGATTTCTGTAGCTTAGCAATAACCACTTAACTCACAGGCAAGAAAAGCTTTCCGGTAGCTTCCTTCATCCAACAACCAAGCCCCACTTCCCCACCCCTCATTCCACCTTCCTCAGTACTACCCAGTATTATTCTATTCTCTACTTCTCTTTTGGTAACAGGGAGGCTGAGTTGCTGTTCTGAATCATCCAATCTGCGTCCCAAATGGCACCCTATTCCCTATATCAAAAGTACCCTGGTCAAAAGTAGTGCACTAAATAGGGTATAGGGTGCCATTTGGGATGCAGACACTACTGTACACTCAGCATCAGCCCAGTGCTATTTCTGTCTCTGCTATCCTATCCCATCCTATCCCATCCTAACAGGGCTGGGGCCGGGGCTGATGCTCTGCTACAGTAATGTCTCCTTTTGTTTAGCCCATCTCTCTTTTCTCCCAAGTGAATTGTCTTGTAATCTGTCAAAATAGGATGTTGTTTGTTTACGTTTATCGCCTGTTACATAATAGGGTTTGAATTTCATTATTGTGACTGCTAACTGTGGAAATTGAATTTTCTTCACAAGAGGGGGTGATAAAATGTATTGTCACTGCGTGTTTCTGGGGGGGAGGATTGTTTGTGAACAGTGAGGAAGGGATTTACAGCAGGAATATTAGTTTTAGTTGTATTACTAATACTGAGATATGGATAACTACTGTAGTTTGTTGCCCAAAGTCTATGAATGGCCATGGACATGTTTATTAATTCAGTAATTCAAAAAACATGGTCTACTGCTTGTATTTACTGTACCTTCTCTCGTGATTTAAATACCATTTAAGTAAGCCCAAACACATTTCAGATGTTTACATGGCAAATTCACGAGTAAAGACATTGTAAAAAAAGAAGTGTTAGCACTGTGGGACAAACTGTGGCATGGCTGCCTGGTTGCCTGGCTGTTCAGTACATGGATGCTGTACACTGAAGCCTGTGGCGTGCTTCTAATGGGTCTGTTGGTCATATTTCACTGTGGTTTGGGTGTCATCGACCCCCTGATTATAAAGCACTGAGAGATCAATATGGAGCAGGGATACACAGATAAGGTGGCAAATCTCTCAGTGAGCCTGCATGCTTTCTCCCTCCTCTCTCTCTCCCTCTGATGCACTCTCTCTCTATCTCTTTCGATCTTGCTCTCTCATACCACCCCTTTTGATCTCTCTCTTTCTCTCTCTCACTCTCTCTCTCTCTTTCTCTCTCGCTCAACCTGTTTCTCTCTTTCTCTCCATCCCTCTCGCTCCCTTCCATCTCCTTCCCCTTATTTTTCTCTCTCTCCTTTTTCTTGTCTCTTATGCGAGAAGATGAGGAGTCCTATAATTGACTGTGATCTGCCCCCCCATTAGAATCAATGGCATTCGTTCCTTTAATTACATTCCGTTTTTTCTCTCTGCTCTCTTTTTTCCCGACCCACAGGATCGTTCAGTACCAGTGAATGAAAAGGAAATTAATTAGATGTCATTTTTTTATTGCGTTCACAGGTCTTTTGTGTGGCCTCTAGAGCATGGCTGACATGCCACATTGTCACAGTGATGAACTGACCTTTAACTAGCCTTAAAGTCATGGACTGTTCTCTCTGCTACCGCTTGGCAAGCGGTACCGACAAACCAAGTCAGGAACCAACAAGACCCTGAACAACTTCTACCCCCAAGCCATAAGACTGCGAAATAGTTAGTTAATTTACTCATCACATACACTGCTGCTACTGTTTACTCTCTGTCACTTTATTCCTAGTTATATGTTCATATCTACCTCAATTACCTCGTACCCCTGCACATCGATTCGGTACTGGTACCCTGTGTATATTGTCAAGTTATCATTACTCATTGTGCATTTATTATTACTTTTGTTATTAATTGTTTTAATTTTCTATTATTTCTCTATTTTCTTTGTCTCTGAATTATTGGGAAAGGCCCGTAAGTGAGCAATTAATTGACTGTTAGTCTACACTTGTTGTTTACGAAGCATGTGACGAATAACATTTGATTTGAAATTGCTGAGAGAGAGAGGCTGGAGAGGGAGGAAGGGTGCTCTGCTCTGCCTTACTTCACCCCCAGTCAGCGTGACTCAGAGTGGGCCTGCAGAAGCACCCGCAACCCACTGCCCAGGCCTCAGGGCTACTCTATGGTTCATTTTAACGGACTACTTCTGCAGGAAAAGATGAGTGAAGAGGGTCCAGGCTTAGCTGCTAAATCAACAGATCCCAGAACATCCAGGGCTCAGGGTTCACTGTAGTTCCTTTCTAACCTTATAATATATCCTCCTTCATTTCCTGTTCACTCCTATAGAAGAGAAAGAAAAACACTGAGACCAAAACTATTCTAGGAAATGTCCCTACAACATTCCCACCTTTGTTTTCAAAGCTTCAGATTTTAAGGCTACTATCACGTTCGTCGAACAGAGATGAGGACCGGGGGCAGCGTTGCAGGCAAACATACTCTTTATTAGAGACACGATCAAAAACCACAAAACGAAAACGTGACAGTTCACGGTCTAACACAACAGACTCGAAACAAGATCCCACAAACTCTGTGGGGAAACAGGCTGCTAAAGTATGGTTCTCAATCAGAGACAACAAGCAACAGCTGAATCCCGTTGCCTCTGATTGCAGGGGCGGTGTGTTCAATAGGGCGATATGGGCGACGCACTGCCAAACGGGAAAAGGAAGGGATTTTTTTTCTAATCAATTATATCACGGCAACAGTAGTTATCAGTGTTGTAATCTAGACGTCTGATCTGCCACAGTGCCACTAAATGTCCAATCAGGCTAAAGTCGTGCTTCAAATGCCCCCCCCCCCCTTTTGGGGCGATTTCAGTCAGGTTGAAAATCGCCCAGAAGTCTGTCATAGACTCCCATGTAAAATCTATTTTTTTCAAATATCAGAGCTTTCAATACAATCTCTATGGGTTTCTGAGGGCTTGCACTTACGCGCTTTCGTCATACGTAACATAACCATGAACGTAACTAAGAAAAGAGCGGGTAGCCTCATCAATCAATTCACTACTACTATCAAAATGGCTAGGCTTCAGTGCAACTCGATTGTGTCTTTGAAAGAAGTTCCTTTTTGTCGGCGAACAAATGAAGATAAATTGGCAACGAAACAATTAGGACCTCCCAGACCAAATTTAATAATTCAACAGGTTTCTACTAAAGGGGGGAAGTCCTACACCCGAGGATTTTCCAAAAATTGGTACGAACGAAAAACCTGGCTAGCAGGCTGCGATGTAGCTAATGCAGTCTTCTGCTACCCCCTGCTTACTCTTTCACCCTGAAGGCGGCACGGCAGACAGCACCGCTTGGACAGCGACTGGTGTGTAACGGACATGCACCATCTTTCAGGAAAGATTAAGAAACATGAGCTGTCAAAGACCCACATGGATAGCTGTTTGAGATTGTCTGCTTTGGGGAGAGTGAACATTCCCACTCAACTGGATGAGGGATACAGGCTAGCTGTCCGCCGCCACAACGATGAGGTTAGTGTTGATAATCACAAGTTTACTGGAGAACTGAAACTGACAAGGCTGACAAGATAGGACCCTTTTGTCCATTGTTATTGGATAGGAACATAACTTATAACCAGCTCCTGACCTAAATAGATCTTAGCACAACATTTTACTCAACATATCATATTCCATATTCACTATAACAAATATATTTACTACGACATTAGCAAGAACCGCCACATCCTCAGCCGGCTAATCCAGTGTGTGAAGTTTTGCGGAGTGTTTGAGTTAGCTTTGCGAGGCAAAGATGAAACTGAGGGCTCCACCAACCCTGGTAAGCCAACACTTTTGAGATCAGTCAATAAATGCTTCTGGTATTGACTTATATGCTGCCCCTGTCTTCATGTTGTTGCTGGACATATCTTTTTTAAAATGTGTGTAGGTCACCTAAATCATCAGAAAAATTGCCCCCCCTGAGAATTTTTTCAGGAGCCGCCACTGTCTGATTGAGAACCACACTGGCCAACATAGAACAACAATACTAGAAAGTGAAACCTAGAACAAAACACATAGACTTTACACACCCTGGCTCAACATATTAGAGTCCCCAGAGCCAGGGCGTGACAGTACCCCCCCCTAAAGGCGCGGACTCCGACCGCGCCCACCAAATACCACAGGGGAGGGACCGGGTGGGCACTCCGCTTAGGCGGCGGATCCGGCTCCGGGCCTGATCCCCGCTCCCTCTCCAACCCCCCAAAGTACCCCTGGTCCGGTCTGGCCCCGCTGGCCGGAGCTGGACTGCACACTGGTGGAGCGGATTGCTCTAGCTCCGGCGTGAAGCATCTGACCGGTGCCGGACCAGCCACCGGTGGAACAGGCACGGGCCATGCCGGACTGACGACGCACACCACTGGCTTGGTGTGGGGAGCAGGAGCGGGCCGAGCCGGGCTGACAAAACGCACCACTGACTTGGTGCGGGGAGCAGGAGCGGGCCGGACCGGGCTGACGAAGCGCACCACTGACTTGGTGCGGGGAGCAGGAACGGGCCGTGCCGGGCTGACGAAGCGCACCACTGACTTGGTGCGGGGAGCAGGAACGGGCCGAGCTGGGCTGACGAAGCGCACCACTGACTTGGTGCGGGGAGCAGGAACGGGCCGAGCTGGGCTGACGAAACGCACCACTGACTTGGTGCGGGGAGCAGGAATGGGCCGGACAGGGCTGACGAAACGCACCACTGACTTGGTGCGAGTGGCAGGAACAGGCCGGACCGTACTGGGAACACACACCACTGGCCCTACGTGGGGATCAGGAACAGGCCGGACCGGACTGGCAACACACGCCAGTACCTCTCGCCGTGCCTCTACATCCTCCTTCCCCCTGGTGACCAGTGACTCCCGTAACCTGGCGGCCTCCTGCTGCCCCGTCGTCCACGGCGTTAGCCCCCCCCTAAAAAATGTATGGGCTTCACTCCTACCCGTGGACCAGGTCTCCATGCTTCTCGCCAGCCTTTCGCCCTTCTGCCTCCACGTCAAGCCCCTCTCTTCCTCACATGGCTTGACCCAGTCGAGGAGGCGAAGGAGATCCGCTAGAGATCTCTCAGGCGATGGCTCCTGGACTTGCTGCTTGGTCCAGTCTTGGTGGGATCTTCTATCACGTTCGTCGAACAGAGATGAGGACCAAGGCGCAGCGTTGCAGGCAAACATACTCTTTATTAGAGACACGATCAAAAACCACAAAACGAAAACGTGACAGTTCACGGTCTAACACAACAGACTCGAAACAAGATCCCACAAACTCTGTGGGGAAACAGGCTGCTAAAGTATGGTTCTCAATCAGAGACAACAAGCAACAGCTGAATCCCGTTGCCTCTGATTGAGAACCACACTGGCCAACATAGAACAACAATACTAGAAAGTGAAACCTAGAACAAAACACATAGACTTTACACACCCTGGCTCAACATATTAGAGTCCCCAGAGCCAGGGCGTGACAGCTACCAATACTTAAGGTTGAGTGATTGAAATGGTGTAGTGTCATTTATGATAACGCTCAATAACATTGAATTGATATATGTACTATTTGGTCTATTATGTTGTAATAACATTTAAAGAAGCCACGCAGCTCCATAATATACAACTAATCCCTCCACACAAATATGTGCTTTTCTATTCCCAGAATCACCCAAGGGTGGAAAATCCCCTTCATTCATTCCTGAGGGAAAGCTAGAGTGGATCACTTCGAATTGAATTGAATTCATAAAATTGTGATAAAAAAAAAATGCTCTACCTACCATGTTTCTTTTTTAAGAGTAAGTGGGTTGAGTGGGGGTTCGAGAAAGGTAAAACCATACTTACTCTCCATATTTAGAATGTCAACAGACCATACAATTATCTCTGTCGGTCTCTTGGCCACATGGCAGTGAGTGAGGCCGTTTGCCTGCTGTAAAGCGTGTACAGAGAACTATAAATATTTCATAAGTCTTAAAATGGGAATCGCATTCTGTCTGCTTTATTAGCATTTTAATCCGTCGGTAGACTCGCCGCATGCTTTTCCTTTCCCTGCCTGATGGGCCCGCTCCCTGTATAAAGACTTCACAGCCATTATTCCCCACGTTTCTAAACCTCTCTACCCTCCATCTTAGGGATGCCATAGAGGAGAAATATTGAAAAGAGGGGAACGAGAAAGAGTGGGTGCTTACACACAATGATTGGACGATAAATAGTTGAGGAACACAGGTCCAAGTATACTGTGTTTTCTCTGTGTGTTCCCATAAATCGCCCCAAAGCCCCAAAAAACAACAACAACCTGCATTAAAAACAGGTCAGGTTTAATCGTGTTGTGTTTTCACATTTATTAGTATCAGCCTGCGTCGTGACAGCGCTCTCTGTTCTACCATTAATCTACACCAGTAAACATGTTTGCCTGATTCGTCATTACCAAACAAATTGTGTGGAATAAGAAACACTCACCTTGTAACAGAGTGTTTACATGTTCTTCTTCTGAAGTAATGGCTTACTTCAAAGGGTGAGGCTGTTGTCAAGTTTGTAAAGCTCTTTTCCCCCCTCCTTTTCAATATCCACACAGAAGATGAAAGCCGCTCTATGAATTCAAATGTAATTTGTTCAGTCATGCATAAAACGTTTTCTCTCTCTATCTCCTTCCCTCTCTCTCTCCCCCCTCTCTCTCTCTCCTCTGTCTCCCTCCCCCACTCTCCCTCCCCCTCTCTCTATGTCTCTCTCTCTTCCTCTCTCGCTGCCCCCCTCTCGCTCTCACCCTCTCTCTCTCTTGCCCGGGTGAAGCTGGAAAGCAGTGTAGCAAATTGGAAGTACAGCGTTGAATGACAATGAGAGAAACGGAATAAAAAAATACATATTGGGGGCAGAGAGAACTTAAGCAATCAAATTAAAAAGTTATTACGTTTGGAATGAGGCACACTGCTCTCTCCTGTCACTGTCTCCATCTGGTAGTCCTCCAAGTCAAGCCTCAGAGAGAGAGAGAGAGAGAGAGAGTGAGAGAGAGGAGGGGGGGGGGGAGAGAAGGTGAGAGAAGGAGAGAGAGAGAGAATGTGTGTGTGTCAGAGTGAGAAAGAGAAAGCGAGAGGGAGTCTCAGAGGGAAAGAGAGAGAGAGAGACAGACAGAGAGACAGACAAAGAGAGGGAGAGATGTGGGGCTCTTGTACAAGATGATGTAAGTTATGGGCCTCAGGCTACTAGCTGATGTAAGTTAGGGGCCTCAGGCTACTAGCTGATGTAAGTTAGGGGCCTCTGACTTTTGGACTAATATCAAACTGTTTGGCCAGACTTTGCTCAGAGTCTGGCTATTACCCAGGATGGAGATGCTAGAATAGTACTCCTCTCCTCACACAGTGGCTGGGCTGTAGAGTGGTCCACATGGTTTTACTCTGGCTGGGGGAGTTAAAATCAAATCAAATCAAATGTTATTTGCCACATGTGCCGAATACAACAGGTGTAGACATTACAGTGAAATGGTTACTTACAAACCCTTAACCAACAATGCAGTTTGTTAAGCAAAAAATAGATAAGCAAAAAATAAAAATAGCAAATAATTAAAGAGCAGCAAAAATAAAATAACAGTAGGGAGGCTATATACAGGGGGTACCGGTACAGGGTACAGAGTCAATGTGCGGGGGCACCGGTTAGTCGAGGTAATTGAGGTAATATGTACATGTGGGTAGAGTTAAAGTGACTATGCATAGATAATAAACAGAGAGTAGCAGCAGCGTAAAAGAGGGGGTGGGGGGAGACTATGCAAATAGTCCGGGTAGCCATTTGATTAGCTGTTCAGGAGTCTTATGGCTTGGGGGTAGAAGCTGTTAAGAAGCCTTTTGGACCTAGACTTGGCGCTCCGGTACCGCTTGCCATGCGGTAGCAGAGAGAACAGTCTTTGACTAGGGTGGCTGGAGTCTTTTATCATTTGTAGGGTCTTCCTCTGACACCGCCTGGTATAGAGGTCCTGGAAGGTAGGAAGCTTGGCCCCAGTGATGTACTGGGCCGTACGCACTACCCTCTGTAGTGCCTTGCGGTCGGAGGTCGAGCAGTTGCCACACCAGGTGGTGATGCAACCAGTCAGGATGCTCTCGATGGTGCAGCTGTAGAACGTTTTGAGGATCTGAGGACCCATGCCAAATCTTTTCAGTCCCCTGAGGGGGAATAGGCTTTGTCGTGCCCTCTTCACGACTGTCTTTGTGTGTTTGGACCATGATAGTTTGTTGGTGATGTGGACACCAAGGAACTTGAAGCTCTCAACCTGTTCCACTACAGCCCCATCGATAACATAGATAGATAATTGTGCCAAACTAAGCTTTGTCGAACAATAGCCTTGCTTCTCTCAACAACGAACAGTATCATTTAATCCTCCCCCACAATAAGCATCATCACAGCATTGTGAGTCTGAATATTGTGAGTCTGAATTCTACGGGAGAGAACAGAAAATAACAAGCTTTTTGCTGCGGTTTGCACAAATAATAAGCAATGAGCTGACGACTAATTAACCTTCCAGAAATGGCTTCCTTTCAGTGCTGTAAGTGATATTTAGGCATATGTATGTGTTGCCTTACACAATTAGCATTGTCCAACCGACAATGACTAATACTACCAGCAGCATATGATAATGGTTGGTTGTGATAATGAGATTATGTGCTGCCACACTGTATGAGCATCATGGATGGCAACACTGCGGTTAAATAACGTGTATACAGTATGTGTGTGTGTGTGTGTGTGTGTTAAAGTGACTCTTAAAGGTCGACATGCATGCTTTCACACACACACAGACACATACAGATGTTATAAACAATAAATACGTGAGAAATTCATAAAAAACACGGTATGATTAACAACTTGTTTATAATCCTTCTCATAGGGACATGTTCCACGAATTGTGTGAGGGGTAGGAATGGGCGGATTTCTCCATCCCATTCTCTGGCCGTTGTGTTGGGCAGTTCAATGGTGAGAAATGTCTCAGCAAAAACGTTGTGTTATCCAGGAGCATGAGTACAAGACATCAATAAGCTGCTCCCAAACATTTTAAACCTACATCAGTAAATGTAGTCTATCATAGTTCATGTTGGATTCAATGACATTATGAAAGGCTGCTTCGAACAGCTGAAGATGGATTTTAAAGAACTGATTGGATCTCTGCTTGACACCAACAAATGCCCCATGATATCTGGCCCTGTGCCCTCCCTAAATCGCGGCATTGAACGTTTCAGCAGACTTAGCCCTCTATAACTGGCTACGTGACTATTACAGCTCTATGGGTGTAACATTTATTGACCATTTTAATACCTTCTGGAAACAAAGCTCGTATTATAAGGAGGATGGGATCCACCCAAATCATTTGGGTTCCTGGATCCTTTCACAGCATTATAAGGGTGTGTTGAGACAATTACTTATCAATGACCCAAGCCCAGCTCAGTTAATCCCTACCATTGTGTCGCTGAGTTCTCATAATGCTTTAGCAAATGTACATTATCCCAGGGGTGTTGGAAGACACAATGTAAGTAACCTAATTGATGTCCCTCTAACTGCCCTGAATGCCTCTGTTGATCCTACAGCTATTGTATGCAGTAATCATGTGCCTATGAACCAGAGTTATACTGTTAGCACTGAGGCGGTGTGCCCTAGTAGGAAGTCCACTGTGTGCAGCTCACCCTGCACTAACATAAATAACATGAGCATGTCTACTTCTGCTAACCTTCCGAGTAAAGAAATGAAAACAATCAAGCATCCCAGAAAAGTGCTAAAAATAGTACAAGTTAGCATATGTAGCTTAAGAAACAAGGTTCATTAAATCAATAATTTGCTAGTAACAGATGACATTCATATTCTAACGATCTCTGAAACTCACTTAGATAATACCTTTGATGATACAGGGGTAGCAACACATGGTTATAACATCTACAGAAAATACAGAAATGACAATGGTGGAGGTGTTGCCGTTTATAATCAGAACCACATTCCTGTAAAGCTTAGAGAGGATCTCATGTTTAATACTGTTTAAGTAATATGGCTACAGGTTAATCTGTCTCACCTAAAGCCCATTATTGTGGGAAGCTGCTATAGACCACCAAGTGCTAACAGTCAGTATCTGGATAACATGTGAGAAATTCTTGAAAATTTATGTGATATCAACAGAGAGGTATATTTTCTGGGTGACCTAAATATTGACTGGCTTTCATCAAGCTGCCCACTCAAGAAAAAGCTTCAAACTGTAACTAGTGCCTGCAACCTGGTTCAGGTTATCAGTTAACCTACCAGGGTATTTACAAACAGCACAGGAATAAAACCATCAACATGTATTGATCACAGCTTTACTAATGCTTCAGAAATTTGCTTTAAAGCAGTATCCAAATCCAACGGATGTAGTGATCACAATATAGTAGTCATATCTAGTAAAACCAAAGTTCCAAAGGCTGGGCCTAATACAGTGTATAAGTGGTCATACAATAAGTTTTGTAGTGATTCCTATGTTGTTGATGTAAAGAATATTTGTTGGTCTGTGGTGTGTAATGAGGAGCAACCAGACGCTGCACTTGACACATTTATGAAATTGCTTATTTGAGTTACTAATAAGCATGCACCCATGAAGAAAATGACTGTCAAAACTGATAAATCCCCATAGATTGATGAGGAACTGAAAAAGTGTATAGTTGAGAGGGACGAGGCAAAAGGAATGGAAAATAAGTCTGGCTGCACAACCGATTGGCAAACGTATTGCAAATTGAGAAATCTAAACTGAATAAACTAAACTGAATAAAAAGAAGAAGAAACTATACAATGAAACATAGATAAATGATATAAAGAATGATAGTGAAAAGCTATGGAGCACCTTAAATGAAATTTTGGGCAAAAAGGCAAACTCAGCAACATTATTCATTGAATCAGATGGCTCATTCATCACAAAACCCAGTAATATTGCCAATTACTTTCATTATTTTTTCATTGGAAAGATGAGCAAACTTAGGCATGACATGCGAGCAACAAACGCTGACACTACACATCCAAGTATAACTGATCAAATTATGAAAGACAAGCGTTGTAATTTTCAATTCCGTAAAAGTGTGTGTGGAAGAGGGGGGAATTATTGTTGTCTATCAACAATGACAAGCCACATGGGTCTGAGAATAGTAAAGCCCCCTTTACTGGCTCAAATAGCCGACCAATCAGTATTTTAACAACCCTTTGTAAACAAAAGAAGCATAATGTTTGACCAGATACAATGCTATTTTACAGTAAACAAATTGACAACCGACTTTCAGCACCCTTATAGGGAAGGACATTCAACAAGCACGGCACTTACACAAATGACTAATGATTAGCTGTGCGAAATTGATAATAAAAGATTGTGGGAGCTGTTTTGTTCGACTTCAGTGCGGCTTTTGACATTATCGATCATAGTCTGCTGATGGAAAAACATATGTGTTATGGCTTTACACCCTCTGCTATATTGTGGATAAAGAGTTACCTGTCTAACAGAACACCGAGGGTGTTCTTTAATGGAAGCCTCTCCAACATAATCCAGGTAGAATCAGGAAATCCACAGGGCAGCTGTCTAGGCCCCTTACTTTTTTCAATCTTTACTAATGACCTGCCACTGGCCTTGAGTTAAGCCAGTGTGTCTATGTATGCGGCTGACTCAACACTATACACTTCAGCTACTACAGCGAGTGAAATCCCTGCAACACTTAACAAAGAGCTGCGGTTAGTTTCAGAATGGGTGGCAAGGAATGTTAGTCCTAAATATTTCAAAAACTAAAAGCATTGTATTTTGGACAAATAATTCACTAAACCCTTAATGTCAACTAAATATTGTAATTAATAATGTGGAAATTGAGCAAGTTGAGGTGACTAAACTGCTTGGAGTAACCCTGGATTGTAAACTGTCATGGTCAAAACATGTTGATACAACAGTAGCTAAGATGGGGAGAAGTCTGTCCATTATAAAGCACTACTCTGTCTTTTTAACAACACTATCAACAAGGCAGGTCCAACATGCTCTAGTTTTGTCTCACCTGGACTACTGTTCAGTCATGTGGTCAGGTGCCACAAAGAGGGACCTCAGAATATTACAATTGTCTCAGAACAGGGGAGCACGGCTGGCCCTTAAATGTACACGGAGAGCTAACATTAATAATATGCATGAAAATCTCTCATGGCTCAAAGTGGAGGAGAGATTGTTTTTGTAAGAAGTGTTGACTTGCTGAATGCACCGAGGTGTCTGTTTTAAGCACTAGCACACAGCTCGGACACCCAAGCATACACCACAACACATACCACCAAAGGTCTCTTCACAATCCCCAAGTCAAGAATAGACTATGTGAGGCACAGAGTACTACATAGAGCCATGGCTACATGGAACTCTACTCCACATCAGGTAACTGATGCAAGCAATATAATCAGATTTTAAAAAACAGATACAAATACACCTTATGGAACAGCGGGGACTGTGAAGAGACACACACAGGCACAGACACACATACACATGATAAGACACGCACTCTACACACACACGTGTATTGTAAATATGTGTTGTGAAAAGTGTTATGAAATGTAATGTCATGTAATATTTTAAATTGTTTATAACTGCCTTAATGTTGCTGGACCCCAAGAAGAGTAGCTGCTGCCTTGGCAGTAGCTAATGGGGATCCTTAATAAATACAAATACCTGTTCTGTTTTTAATGATACAAAAACCAACAATTGTGAAGAAAATAGATGATCTCTGTGACACCTTAAAACATTATTATTTCCTTAGTACTCCCATGATATGGACACGGCTAAGAGCTATAAACATTAGCATAACCCCTTGTGTGAAGCTTCTTCATAAAACTACATCCTGTCATTGTCTGACTCAGCAGATTTTAGACAAACAGAGAGAGATAGAAAGAAAGAGAGCGATAAATAGAGAGAGAGAGAGCGAAAGAGAGAGAGAGAGCGCGAAAGAGAGAGAGAGAGAGAGCGAAAGAGAGAGAGAGAGAGAGAGACAGTGAGAGAGAGAGAAACAAGCATCAATAAGACATTGGGAGGCTTGGGAGGGTTGAATCATCCTGAGTTGGCTGTTTTAAATCTATGCCGAGGAAGACTCCAGGATATAGTTGATCAAAGAGTATCTCCTCTCACTTACTTCTGTTCTTTAACTTTCGCCTCTGGAGACATGAGGATATTTATAACAGACAGTAATGGTGGATGGATTGCTGATCACCTGCTTTTGGCTATTGATCATTGATCAGAATGAATCACATGTCAGGAAGTGACTGCAGTAAGATGTCATCATCGTAGATTGGTTGCCGAAGCTGGTAGCTTATCATCGACCAATCAGATTCCTCAGTTTGGCAGCACTGCATTCATTCGTCTCTATGATACAGCACTATGTTGTTCTCAGAATTCTGAGCCAGACCCCAGCAAGGTGAGGGGAAAAGTTTTTTGAGACTAACTTCAAACTGATGTATCTCCCAAACTCTTGGCTCTTGGCCTCTAACCCTGCTGTTGTTGTTGAGTTGTGGAGCAAAACAAGAGGGAGGGAGAAAATGTATGGAGGAGAAGTTATCTGTTTTGTTTCTCGTCATTCCCTTCCTGCCCTGAATTGGAATAAGCTCTCCCCTGTATTCGTTCACTGCCCTATTCAAATTCCTTCTTCAAGCCTGGTTTGAAGACACTCGCTCCACTGGCATAAATCCTCATCTTCCCCTCCTCCTCTCCTCCCCTCCTGATTTCCCCCTTTCTTATTTCAATATGCTACCTCGCAGCCAGCATCCCCCCGTTGACGATGGTACCGGGAGTTGCGGGCAGGTGGAAGTGCGTAAAGGATGAACGTGCGCTTCCACCGGCAGCCCCTGGGCACTGGGGTCATTCGGCAGCGTCCAAACCCCATTAGCAGGAGCAGAGCCATGTCAAGCAGGGCCGAAGTCGATAAGCAGGCCCCAAAACAGTAGCTTGCCAGCTCCACTCTGCTCTGCACCGTGCTGCTGTGAAACAGGCAGCTCACAAACACAACACACACCCTCCTCAAGGGCTCCCTGAGGAAAGTGCCACCAGCCAGAGAGAGAGAGAGAGAGAGAGAGAGAGAGAGAGAGAGAGAGAGAGAGAGAGAGAGAGAGAGAGAGAGAGAGAGAGAGAGAGATAGAGAGAGAGAGAGAGAGAGAGAGAGAGAGAGACAGAGTGAGAGAAAGAGTGAGAGACAGAGAGAGACAGAGAGAGACAGAGAGAGACAGAGAGACAGACGGAGAGATAGAGACAGAGAGACAGAGCGAGACAGAGAGAGACGGAGAGACGGTGACAGAGAGACAGACGGAGAGACAGAGAGACAGACGGAGAGACAGAGAGAGAGACAGAGACAGAGAGACAGACGGAGAGACAGAGAGAAAGACAGACAGAGAGAGAGACAGAGACAGAGACAGACGGAGAGACCGAGAGAAAGACAGAGATACAGAGAGAGAGACAGACGGAGAGACAGAGAGAGAGATAGAGAGACAGACGGAGAGACAGAGAGCTAATAAAGTAGCAAGAGAGTGAGAATAAAGGATACTTACTGATCAGCACATTAGCTTTCCAAAGGACGTTGTCCACATATTACAAATGATCAATTTCTATGATTGTTTTGGTCTAATTCTCAGCTACTTTCCCTGTTATGTTGACCTGGTTTTGAACATGTGATCCAGCTCCAGGCAGTAGTACCCATCCATAGTGTTACCGCATGTCTGACCCAGGTCTAACCCAGGTCTGGCCCTGTTGACCCACATAAGTCACCAAGGTCCAGGAGTCGTAATGTTTCTGCCCCTTTAACGGTTAAACGGTTCCTGGAACAAATGTGTTCTAGATTCCCGCCACATGTTCCAAACAGGCTCCATGACCCTTTGACTCTCCACTAGTGATGCGCGGGTTGACTCATAACCCGCAGTCCCCACGGTTATATCCGTGGGTTGGACGGGTTTGGGGTCAATAAATATTGTGTGGCTGAAGGGTGGGTGGGTGGCAAGAAACATTACCTTAAAAAATCCATAAATGTATAATTGTTGTGCAATTTATATAGTCTACATTGAGGTTTTTCTTTCATTATTTTAGGCTATCTGGTATTAGTGCATAAGCCTAAGATTTAGGGCTTAACTGTAAGCGAGCCAAATTGCCTACACAGCCAATCACCAAATAATGCTTTTGGGAACGGGCAGAAAAAGGTTAACATCAATCAAAGGAGGCAAAAAGGTCATTGATGAAGTTTAATTAAATAAGACAAAAACTGCGAAAGGAGAGTTGAAAATAAAGAGAAGGGATGGAAAGAAAAGTAATGTTTTGAAAAGATTTGGTGAAGTGGTAAAAGAGGATGATGGCAGTGCCAGCTACGTTATGTGTGATGAGGCGCTATACAAATTCAACAGTCACAAGACTGGACTTCAAATAGGCCTATGGCATGTCAAGGGAACTGTAGCCTACTGTTTAGATGGGTTAAATGGAAACTGAAATTTGGACATTGACTAACCGGAATAACCTACTGTTTTTTGGCAAACTCCAAAGTCCTCTGATAATACTAGTCCTGTGCGAATCAACATCCCTGTGTCTTGAATGAAATGTCTGTGTTTTCCAGGTGTTGCTCCCGGTTTGAGCAAGAAAACAATAACTGATTTGATAAATTGAAAAAAGTGCTGCACATAGCCTATATATGAAGGGCCTACATGTATCAACTTTCACAGTTAATGCTTTTGTTTATAAGTTTTGTGCGAATGAATTGAACATCGGCAAATACATCATAAAAAAAAAAATTGCGCCTATTTAATGAAACACTTGCTGTTAATAGATCGCAAAGCAGCATACAACTGAGCTAAACGTTTGGAACAAGTTCACTTTCTCATCCATAGACTAATAGCGCATATCAAGCACAAGTTAGCTGTTTAGCTCACATCTGAAGGCTGGGGGGCATTTAGGACGCCTTCTACTGCGGATCGCTAAAATATTCTAATGATTATGATCACACATATTCAATTCAAATATTATGGCGACACTATACGAAAGATGGTTTGATATGGTTTAGAAACTTGCGAACCAAGATCGAGTTATCAGTGTAGACTGTTATAGCCTGGACTTGTTGAAATATCTTCACACCTAGAAAAAAACTTCCAGGCTTCATAAGTGTCGATTTATAAATGAAAAAAAGAAAGAAAGAATTACAGGTGGCAGTTTGGAAAAAATGTATCCCGCCCGAATCGTCCTCTGGAATAACGGACATTCTGGGGTAATAAATACATAACCAACGCTCTCTAGTAATACTAGTCCCGTGCGAAAAGGGCTAAAGCCTTAATAATAACTCCTGCAGAATTAAGCATTTTTTGCAGTAAAAGTATACACCAAAGCTAAATTTGGACTTGGGAAAAGGAGTGGAGAAATATTATTTCTTTCTTTCTGCATCTTGAGAGAATGCAATGCTCTGTAACGTAGACGCTGGGAGTCGAGAAGCAGGTGGTAAGTTTAATGTAACAAAGAACATGGAACAATACAACATAGGAGTAGCGTCTTGACATGAAACACAGAAACAATACCGCCTGGGGAAGGAACCTAAGGGAGTGCCAGATAAAGGGGAGGTAATGAGTGAGGTAATGGAGTCCAGGTGTGCCTCATGATGAAGCGCAGGTGCGCGTAATGATTGATGCCAGGTGCGCGTAATGATGGTTACCAGGACCGGTGGTTAGTAAACCGGTGACGTCGAACGCCGGAGGGGAGGAGCGGGAGTAGACGTGACATACTCAGTTAGATAAGATCTGTAGAGGCGCTGTCTTCATCATAAAAGCATAATAAAAGCCAATAGTATTTCAGCCACACAAAATATGCATCAAAGCCAAACTGAAATCTTATCAGAAACACATTTGTTCGTTTTCACAGCTTTGTTTTTCCTTACAACCAGTCAAACTGACATTTTGCACAGAAAATATTTCCCGTTTTTTTTTAGCGTAATTGTATTTTCTCCCCAGTCCCTAAACATCTTTGCTCCGCGAAAGATGACAAAGAAAACTTTACTGATATCAACTAGATTGAAGCGTTCATTCTATCGATGTATTATATTATTTTGTTTATTTAGTCTTCTAAGGCAACATATAATGACAAAAGAGAAGCTACATGTATCTAATTATAGACAAGTTGACTAACAAATAGCCTACCAAAATGTCAGAAATTATCAGCAGAAACATATCTAATACAGGCAAAACAACCCCCTGTCAAAAAATTGTTCTGCCTATATCGCATTTTCTATATTTGCGGGTTAGGGTTGGGTGCGGGTCTCAGATTTTCACTTTATCACATATAGTCAGGCGGTTGTGGATGGGTTATTAGCAATTGCGGGAGGGTGCAGGTGAACAAACAACTGACCCACGCACCACTACTCTCCACCAATCACAGGGTGTGAACTTAAAGTGGCTGACCTGCTCGCTAACTCACAGGTGGCCTTCCAGAATCTCCTACTAATGACACTGAGAAAGACTCATAGACAGCTTGCTAGGATAATAGTATTCTTCTCTGAGGCAGTGCTAAATATAAAGTTTTACTGCAGCAGCAGTGCTTTACAGTGGCTTGCGAAAGTATTCACCCCCCTTGGCATTTTTCCTATTTTGTTGCCTTACAACCTGGAATTAAAATGGATTTTTGGGGGGTATGTATCATTTGATTTACACAACATGCTTACCACTTTGAAGATGCAAAATAAAAATTTTTGTGAAACAAACAAGAAATAAGACAAAAAAAACAGAAAACTTGAGCGTGCATAACTATTCACCCCCCCAAAGTCAATACTTTGTAGAGCCACCTTTTGCAGCAATTACAGCTGCAAGTCTCTTGGGGTATCTCTATAAGCTTGGCACATCTAGCCACTGGGATTTTTGCCCATTCTTCAAGGCAAAACTGCTCCAGCTCCTTCAAGTTGGATGGGTTCCGCTGGTGTACAGCAATCTTTAAGTCATACCACAGATTCTCAATTGGTCTGTGCTTTGACTAGGCCATTCCAAGACATTTAAATGTTTCCCCTTAAACCACTCGAGTGTTGCTTTAGCAGTATGCTTAGGGTCATTGACCTGCTGGAAGGTGAATCTCCGTCCCAGTCTCAAATCTCTGGAAGATTGAAACAGGTTTCCCTCAAGGATTTCCCTGTATTTAGCGGCATCCATCATTCCTTCAATTCTGACTAGTTTCCCAGTCCCTGCCGATAAAAAACATCCCCACAGCATGATGCTGCCACCACCATGCTTCACTGTGGGGATGGTGTTCTCGGGGTGATGAGAGGTGTTGGGTTTGCACCAGACATAGCGTTTTCCTTGATGGCCATAAAGCTCCATTTTAGTCTCATCTGTCCAGAGTACCTTCTTCCATATGTTTGGGGAGTCTCCCATATTGCTTTTGGCGAACACCAAACATGTTTGCTTATTTTTCTTCTTTAAGCAATGGCTTTTTTCTGGCCACTCTTCCGTAAAGCCCAGCTCTGTGGAGTGTACGGCTTAAAGTGGTCCTATGGACAGATACTCCAATCTCTGCTGTGGAGCTTTGCAGCTCCTTCAGGGTTATCTTTGATCTGTTGTGGTGCCATATTCTTTCAATTGTTTAATAATGGATTTAATGGTGCTCCGTGGGATGTTCAATGTTTCTGATATTTTTTTATAACCCAACCCTGATCTGTACTTCTCCACAACTTTGTCCCTGACCTGTTTGGAGAGCTCCTTGGTCTTCATGGTGCCGCTTGCTTGGTGGTGCCCCTTGCTTAGTGGTGTTGCAGACTCTGGGGCCTTTCAGAACAGGTGTATATATACTGTGATCATGTGACACTTAGATTGCACACAGGTGGACTTTATTTAACTAATTATGTGACTTCTGGAGGTAATTGGTTCCACCAGATCTTATTTAGGGGCTTCATAGCAAAGGGGGTGAATACATATGCACGCACCACTTTTCCGTTATTTATTTTTTTGAGTTTTTTGAAAGAAGTTATTTTTTTCATTTCACTTCACCAATTCGGCTATTTTGTTTATGTCCATTACATGAAATCCAAATAAAAATCAATTTAAATTACAGGTTGTAATGCAACAAAATAGGAAAAACGCCAAGGGGGATTGTCACGATCGTTAACGGAAGATACGGACCAAGGCGCAGCGTGATAAGCGTACATTTTTATTAACGTACTGAACACGACACAAAACAACAAACAAACGATACGTGAAGTCCTAGGTTACACAAAACAAACCTTTACGGAACAAGATCCCACACCGACTAGTGCCAAACAGGCTGCCTAAGTATGGTCCCCAATCAGAGACAACGAGATACAGCTGCCTCTGATTGGGAACCACCCTGCCCAACATAGTTCTAAACGATCTAGAACATCAACATAGAAAATATAACACAGAAACTACACATCCTGGCTCAATATTTCAGAGTCCCCAGAGCCAGGGCGTGACAGTACCCCCCCCCCCCCCCCCCCCCAAAGGCGCGGACTGCGACTGCGACCGCGCCACACAAACACAACAGGGTAGGGGCCGGGTGGGCATTGCGCCTCGGAGGCGGATCAGGCTCCGGGCGTGACCACCACTTTCTCTCCACCTCCCCGTTGCGCCCCTGATCTGGTCTGGCACCGCTGACTGGAGCTGGACCCGACGACGGTGGATCAAACCGTACAGGATCCGGACTGGAGGGCTTGGCCGGAGCTGGAATGGACACCGGTGGAGCGGATTGCTCTGGCTCCGGAGTGGATCCGCTGACTGGAGTTGGGCCGGACCCCGGTGGAGCAGATTGCTCTGGCTCCGGAGTGGAGCAGCTGACCGGTGCCGGACCAGGCACCGGTGGAACAGGCACGGGCCGTGCCGGACTGGACACACGCACCACTGGCTTGGTGCGGGGAGCAGGAACGGGTCGGACCGGGCTGACGACGCGCACCACTGGCTTGGTGCGGGGTGCAGGAACGGGCCGGACCGGGCTGACGACGCGCACCACTGGCTTGGTGCGGGGAGCAGGAACGGGCCGGACCGGGCTGACGACGCGCACCACTGGCTTGGTGCGGGGAGCAGGAACAGGCCGGACCGGGCTGGCGACGCGCACCACTGGCTTGGTGTGAGGGGCAGGAACAGGCCGGACCGGGCTGGCGACGCGCACCACTGGCTTGGTGCGAGGGGCAGGAACAGGCCGGACCAGGCTGGCGACGCGCACCACTGGCTTGGTGCGAGGGGCAGGAACAGGCCGGACCGGGCTGGCGACGCGCACCACTGGCTTGGTGCGGGGAGCAGGACCTGGCCGGACCGGGCTGACGACGCGCACCACTGGCTTGGTGCGAGGGACAGGAACGGGCCGGGCTGGACTGGGAATATAAACCACTGGCTTGGTGCGGGGAGCAGGAACGGGCCGGGCCGGACTGGGAACACGCACCACCGGCTTGCTGCGAGGGACAGGAACGGGCTGGGCTGGACTGGGAATATGCACCACTGGCTTGGTGCGGGGAGCAGGAACGGGCCGGACCGGGCTGGGAACACGCACCACCGGTTTGGTGCGGGGAGCAGGAACGGGCCGGGCCGAACTGGGAACACGCACCACTGGCTTAGTGCGAGGAGCAGGAACGGGTGGGGCCGTACTGGGAACACGCACCACTAACTTAGTGCGGGGAGCAGGAACGGGCCGGACCGTTTTGCGAACACACACCACTGGCCTTGTGCGGGAAACAGGAATGGGTCGGGCCGTACTGGGAACACGCACCACTGGCTTAGTGCGGGGATCAGGAACGGGCCGGACCGGACTGGTGACACACACCACTTGCTTGGTGCGAGGAGCGGGACTGGGTTTCCTTATAAACCTCCGCTCCTTCTGCTGCCTAACCAGTTCCTCTCGCCGTGCCTCTACACTCTCCCTCTCCCTTAACGCCTCTTGTAGCTCCTCCCTCCGACCAATTAACTCCTGCTCCCTCTGGACCAATAGCCCCCGTAACCTGGTGGCCTCCTCTCCTAGTCTGCAGATTCGCCCTGTAGCTGCCTCCTGCTGCCCCGTCGTCCACGCCGTGTGCCCCCCCAAAAAAAAATTATTGGGGTTGCCTCTCGCGTGTCCGTCGTCGGCACGGTTGGCGTCGTTTCTCCTCTCCTGCCTGGGCATTTACCTTTGCCCATGGCCCTTTCCCCGCGAATATCTCCTCCCATGACCACCATTTGCCCACCTGAGACATCGCTATCTTCTCCTCCTGGGCACGCTGCTTGGTCCTCTTTTGGTGGGATCTTCTGTCACGATCGTTAACGGAAGATACGGACCAAGGCGCAGCGTGATAAGCGTACATTTTTATTAACGTACTGAACACGACACAAAACAACAAACAAACGATACGTGAAGTCCTAGGTTACACAAAACAAACCTTTACGGAACAAGATCCCACACCGACTAGTGCCAAACAGGCTGCCTAAGTATGGTCCCCAATCAGAGACAACGAGATACAGCTGCCTCTGATTGGGAACCACCCTGGCCAACAAAGATCTAAACGATCTAGAACATCAACATAGAAAATATAACACAGAAACTACACACCCTGGCTCAACATTTCAGAGTCCCCAGAGCCAGGGCGTGACAGGGATGAACACTTTTGCAAGGCACTGTATATACACAGTGATAGATCACACAAACAAGTTGTGAAGCTTTTTGATGGAGGAAGACTAACTCGAGAGGACAATTATAGGTTGCATTTTACATTAACTTGTCCAACTAATAGTTTAAGTTAATTTAAATATAGTGTTTGAAAACAATATTGTAGACTTAATTAGTCTTTACTATGTTTCCATCTTGCTATAGAGAAAAACCCCCTACTTTTCTTTTTCTTGAAGTCAAGAGTTGTTACATGTTCTCATATATGTAGTCATATAGGCTAACTATATGAAATAAGAAGCAACATCATACATGGTGTTACCCAATTCCCCTAGGCCTTGGTACGGTATTCTAGCCAGTAGCTCTTGAGACAGGCAGTACAGTACATGTACCTAACTGTTCCACATGTTGTTAGTCTGAGGCCTATCCTCTCCGCTCTCCTCCCGTTCCTCTCATTCCCCTACTCCCCTACATCAAACACCCCTCAGGGGAGTGTGTACAGAAAACACAACACAACAAGCCAAGTGAAAGACACAATGTTTCTATACTCTATTTGTTTTAAAGTTGTGAGGAGAGGAGAGAAATATTCCCTTTTTCCATCTGTTCTCCTTCTGTTCTCTCCTCACCTGACCCTGTTTCATCTTCCTCCCACTCTCTCTCACTTCTGTTTACCTTTATCCTTTGTCTTTCCCTCTTTCTTCCATCTCCCCTCCCTTGCTTCGTCTCCACCTCTCACATTCTATTCTATTTAACTGTTCCAATTCAGCTCATCCATGGTGCATTCAGATTCATATACTATAGCTGGCATCATATTTGTGTGCTGCTAAAACGTTATCCATTATAATGAAAGAGTCTGGGAACCCTGGACCAAGTCTCCTCTCTAGTTTATGTTATCTCTTTATCTCTTCTGCTCATTTCCTCTCTATGTATCCTCCTTTTCTTATTTCATTCTTCTATTATATCTCTTTCACAGTCACACCCTGCTCTACCCCTCTTTACGTGTCTCTTTCTCTTGACTCCCATGTACTTTCCATCTTTCTCTCTCTCCCCCTTTCTCTCCCATCCTGTTCTTCCTCAACCTTTTGACCAAACCTGAATCTGTCTTTACCTTTCCTTTTGTTCTCCAACTCAACCCATCCCTTCCCTCCAACCCCTCCATCCCCTCCTCCTCATGTCCCTCTCTTCTCTGTCCCGCTCTGTAGGAGTAGCTGACAGCCACCATCCCTCCATCCCCTCCTCCTCATCCCCCTCTCCTTGTCTCTGTCTCTTCCTTTAGGAGTGGGTGACAGCCACCGACCTACTCATCTCTCTGGACAGGCTCAACACGTTCGGAGATGAGTTCTTCAAGGACGCCAAGGTGTTGCGATCCTACTTCTACGCCATCTCCGATTTCTCCGTAGGCGCTAGGTAACACACACCTGACATCTGAGAGAGAGAGGGAAAGAAGAAGAGAGGGAGAGAAGAAGAGAGGGAGAGAAGAAGAGAGGGAGAGAAGAAGAAAGGGAGAGAAGAAGCGAGGGAGAGAAGAAGAGAGGGAGAGAAGAACAGAGGGAGAGAAGAAGAGAGGGAGAGAAGAAGCGAGGAAGAGAAGAAGAGAGGGAGAGAAGAAGAGAGGGAGAGAAGAAGAGAGGGAGAGAAGAACAGAGGGAGAGAAGAACAGAGGGAGAGAAGAACAGAAGCCTGTTTGCTTTGATTTATCTTTGTCTTTGCTCATTTCTCAGAGAGACTCGAATAGGAAACAACAACCCAGCTTGGAATAGTGCCCCATTTTATAGATAATAAAACAGATAATAAAACGCTTCTCCACACTTCCTCCCTCTCTGTATCCTTTTTACATAACAAATAGTCTAACTCAACACAAGCCCTCTATGGTCCTGGACAGTAGATTGTAAGACTAATAAATAGAACACTCTCCCTCCCCCTGCCTACCAAGTTCCCCCCTAAACAGAACAGAGCCACATCATCCTCCTCTGTCCTGTGTCTTTTCTATCACTGTCCCTGCTCTGTCCCTGGTCCCCAGACCTGGGTTCAAATACTATTTGAAATCATTCCAAAACGGCAAGCCTGGCACATCTAGCACTCCGGGTAGACCAGAGCAAACACTCCAAGTATTTTAACGATTTCAAATAGTATTTGAACACATGTCTGCTGGTCCCTGGGCTTATTCCTCACAGTAACGAGATGGGACAACAGGAAGCGTTCAGCACAGACAGGATGTCCATGGGCACAGCACAATAACATGAACCTTATTAAGTAGTTGAGATGAAGCCTTCACCCACTGCTTCAACAGGATCTGACACCTGTCATAAGTGTTTATGATCACAGCGAGGGGTGACAATCTGACAAATGACCCAACAATGTCACCATGACACCTGAGGGAATGAAGGGGGGCAAGCTGACAACTTGTTGGGCTTGCTTAGTCAGCCTAGCTTGTTGGATTGGCCATAGCAGTGCTAGCACTTGTCAGTTGGCCAATTCCCACACTGAATATTATGAATGGAGACAATAAGTGTCAGGGTATGTCAATGTGTTGGTTTAAATTGTCAACTAGTGTAGTATAGTAACTCAAAATAGTAAAAAGAAATGGTCCAGAACTGACGGACTACTGAGCTGCTATATGAGCTATTTTCTGTGCCATATTCATTATTGCGGTTGTCAAGATTACCTCAGAGTTTACTACTAGAGACATCTGAGTTGGTGATTGGGGGCAATTTTCACTTTCTTACTAACTACTTCCATGTCACAACAACAACAACAACAGAAACAGAAATAACTGATTCGGAGCCGTTAGCATAAAGAGCCTGGATCTGGGACAGCTGGTTAAATCTGACAGTGACAGGCGCAGTGATGAGCCCCCCTCTTCCCTCACAGAAAGGCCCTATACAGAGCCAATGACAGAGGGTGCATCCCAAATGGCGCCCTATTTCGTGCACTACATTTTACCAGGGCCGTAAAGAGCTCTAGTCAAAAGTAATTTACTATATAGGGAATACGGTGTCAGTTGGGACACAACAAGGAGAATCAGACACTATCATCCTCAGCGTGTCACAGTAAAGATAGGGCCTCAGCTAACAGCTATTGGCAATACATCCTTAATCCTTAAATTACTTCTAGTCACAGGAAATTGTATTTTCTAGACTGTTTGGAAAGGATATGTATAACTTGATATATAGCACAATAACTCACATGCACACGCACACACACACATACACAAACGCACACATACACACACACAGTGACTGGTAGCGGAAGTTGTTTATGCTCAGGGATATCTTGTTCAGATGAGAGTTGGATAGACAGGGGAGATGAGCAGAGCAGTGTGAAGGGGACAAAACCCCACGTTGTCCAAGGCGATGTACTGTATCTGCCACTGATAGGTAATAGGAGGTGAAAAGTGACAGTGAAAATACTTTCTCATTTTACATCTCCTACCTGTCCTATTCTCTGTTCTCTGTTCATTTCCTTCTGTGTGTGTGTGTGTGTGTGTGTGTGTGTGTGTGTGTGTGTGTGTGTGTGTGTGTGTGTGTGTGTGTGTGCGTGTGTGTGTGTGTGTGTGTGTGTGTGTGTTCATGTGCATATGAGTGTGTGTCCATACAAGTGTGTCTCCATCTTTATCCCCCAGGTGTAAGTGTAACGGCCATGGCAGTGAGTGTTTGTTGGATGACCTGGGGAATCTGGTGTGTGACTGCCAGCATCACACTGTCGGGGTGGACTGCCAGAAGTGTCACCCATTCTATCAGGACAGGCCTTGGGCCAGGGCCACCGGAGACTCTGCCAACCAGTGTATGAGTGAGTAATGGAGATTGGTTCAGTTCAGTCACCCCTGGGGAGGTTTATAGTTGGGGTAGTGTATGAGTGAGTATTGCAGCCAAGTTCCTTTAGGAGTACATAAAGTATGAGTGAGTACATGGGGATTTGTACTAAGAACCCTGGGAGAAGGCTGTAGGAGAGCTGGATGGAGAACAGCTGAACCCTGGGAGTAGGCTATAGGAGAGTTGGAGGGAGAACAGCTGAACACTGAGAGTAGGCTATAGGAAAGTTGGAGTGAGGATAGCTGAAACCTGGGAGTAGGTTATAGGAGAGTTGGTGGGAGAGCTGAACCCTGGGAGTAGGCTATAGGAGAGTTGGAGGGAGGACAGCTGAACCCTAGGAGTAGGTTATAGGAGAGTTGGAGGGAGGACAGCTGAACCCTGGGAGTAGGCTATAGGAAAGTTGGAGTGAGGATAGCTGAACCCTGGGAGAAGGCTATAGGAAAGTAGGAGTGAGGATAAATGAAACCTGGGAGTAGGTTATAGGAGAGTTGGTGGGAGAGCTGAACCCTGGGAGTAGGCTATAGGAGAGTTGGAGGGAGGACAACTGAACCCTCTGAGTAGGCTATAGGAGAGTTAGCTATAGAAGAGTTGGAGCGAGCACAGCTGAACGCTGGGAGTAGGCTATAAGAGTGTTGGAGGGAGGACAGCTGTACCCTGGGAGTAGGCTAGAGTAGAGTTGGAGGGAGGACAGCTGAATGTTGATGTACAGTAACCCTATAACACTGTATTTACAAAGCATACCTACTGTAATGATATTGAACGTATCATATGTAAATGTAACATATAAGATGTTGGTGTAGCATAATGAAGATGAATTCCACGTGCACATGTGTACTGTCCATCCATGCATGCATGTCTAAGCGTCCTTGTGTGTGTGTGTGTGTGTGTGTGTGTGTGTGTGTGTGTGTGTGTTGTGTGTGTGTGTGTGTGTGTGCGTAGGTTGGCATTTATTGTCATGAATCTTGTTCTGGAGGCAGCTCTGCAGAGTGGTCACTAGCTGGCACAGCCACAAAGTCATAAATTCCGATTTTAAACCTAACCTTAACCCTAACCTTACCCACACTGTTAACCCTAACTTTACATGTTATTTCATGAATTTTTCTAATATACACAATTTAGACTTTGTAGCTGGCCCATCTAGAAGAAATCGCTCACTTCTGCCTCCAGGGCAAGATTCATGACAATAAACATCAACCTGCTGCATGTGTGTGTGTGTGTGTGTGTGTGTAAATGTATATGTGTACATGCCTGTGTGTGTGTGTGTGTGTGTGTGTGTGTGTGTGTGTGTGTGTGTGTGTGTGTGTGTGTGTGTGTGTGTGTGTGTGTGTGTGTGTGTGTGTGTGTAAATTAGTGCAAGTGCGAATATCAGTGCGGTTCAGGCTTATGGCGCTGTGCACTGAGCAGTGAAAGGTTATTTTGAACACTGCTGAGGAGGAATTGTAATTGGTTGGACTGATAAACCCATAAAGGAGAGACCTCGTTAATTGTTTTTATGCTTGATTCTATTAAGCAACAAGCTTGTTTTAATTACATTCCGGCTGTGTTCCAAACAGCACCCTGTTCCCTATATAGTGTACTACCTTTGACCAGGGCCCATAGGGCTATGGTCAAACGTATTGCACTATGTAGGGAATAGGGTGCAATTTGGGAGGCAGCCTGAGTCTCTGTACCAACAAGATGGCTTTTTAAATAGACTGCCGTATGCAGCCGCACTGTACTGTATACGAAAAGTGAATATATTATTAAATAAATATAACTTATACAAAAAAGAAAAGAAGCACTGAATGTGAAAGAACGAGAGGAATCTAAATGAATGCTCTGTGTATTGTAATTCCACGCTCCGTTTTCCGGCGAGATAGAAACACATTTTGCCGCAGCTTGCTGGGCCGAGCTCTCTCTCTCTCCACTCTGCCGCGTAAGGCATGTGTCTGGAACCAGTACCATATGGCCCTGCTTGTCAGAACGCACACACTGTAATTGACAACGGGTGTCTTTTCTCTGCCGAGAGAGAGAGAGACAGAGAGAGAGAGAGAGAGAGAGAGAGAGAGAGAGAGAGAGAGAGAGAGAGAGAGAGAGAGAGAGAGAGAGAGAGAGAGAGAGAGAGAGAGAGAGAGAGAGAGAGAGAGAGAGTTGAGCAAAATACACACAGACACATAGGCACACACTGTTGTTTATATTTATGTTGTCACAACATCCTTCTGGTTATTACAAAGTTACTTAGCAGACAAAAGTGTCTTATTTAACATACTATCCACTACCTAGTTAGGAATCCATCTTAATCAGTGCACCTGAGCCACCTGCCTTGAATACATGTGTAATGACTCAGGCAGACTCAATCTATTTGCAGTCAGACACATTATCACTCATGATCATCTTGAACCTCTACGGGATCGGTGTCCCATATACAGGACGGTTGAACGCATTTGATTTTCTTAAGCGGCGCTTTACATCGGCCCCGGTCTTCGGGCATCCTGATCCGTCCCTGCCGTTCATTGTGGAGGTGGATGCTTCAGACGTTGCGGTGGGAGCAATCCTGTCACAGTGGTTCCTCATGGATGGTAAGACTCACCCCAGCGCGTTTTTCTCCCATTGGCTGTCCCCGGTGGAGTGGAATTACGACGTTGGGAACCGTGAGCTGCTAGCGGTCAAGCTCGCCCTGGGGGAGTGGAGGCATTGGCTAGAGGGGGCCGCCCATCCATTAGTCGTATGGACTGACCACAAGAACTTAGCCTACATTCAGGGGGCCAAGAGGCTCAACTCGTGCCAGGCCAGGTGGGCGTTGTTCTTCACCAGGTTCCGGTTCACCATCTCATACCATCCGGGGTCGAAGAACTCCAAGCCTGACGTGCTCTCCCGGCAGTTCGACCGCGTGGACATGGTGGAGAAGGACGACCTCATTGTCCCCAACACTCTGTTTGCTGCCCTAGTTTCGTAGGGAATTGATAGGCTGTTCAGAGCAGCGCTACGGAGCGCGTCAACCAGGATCTGGAGGGGGTGCTGAGGTGCTACGCCTCCAGCAACCCAGCTACGTGGAGTCAGCGACTGGCATGGGCGGAGTATGCCCACAACACCCTTCTCTGCTTGTCTACCGGCCTGTCCCCCTTCCAAGTGCCAATACGGGTACCAACCCCCCCTATTCCCCGAGCAAGAGGAGGAGGCGGCGGTCCAGGCCCACATCAGTCACTGTCGCCGCACCTGGAGGCAGGTACGGGCGGCGCTTAAGCGGGCCTCGGTCAGGTCTCAACATCAGGCCAACTGCAGGAGTCGCCCGGCACAGAGGGTGTGGCTTTCCACGCGGGATCTTCCCCTCCGCATGGAGTCCAGGAAGCTGTCTTCCTGGTTCGTCGGGCCATTCACAGTGGTCCGGCGCGTCAACCCAATGGCCTACCGCCTGCAACTTCCCCTCACCATGCCATTCTGGACCCAGGGCTGATAACAAAATTCCGTCGCCACCACCCGGAGTCGCCGAGGCGAACGGCTGTGGCCGTTCGTCGGGGGGGGGTGCACTGTTACAGGAGGGGGTCGCAGTTCTGGAGCGACCCACTAGGTGTCATCCTTCGACTACCTTAGGCACCTCCTCACTCACAGTCTGGACTAATCATCATCCTATTGGTGTCGCCTGTGTCTATCTGTTCACCTGTGTATTAATGCCTTCACTTCCCTGTGTTCCCTTGCTCAGTTTCTCTGCTAGTTTCTCTATGTCCAGCAGTACTACTCAGTGTCTGATCGGAGACCTATGTACAGGTACTTGAGAAGTGTTCTCCCTGTTTCGTTAGTTGTTTCAGTCGTAGGTAGTATTTCGTATTTTGGCTGTCAGCCGGTTTTTGGAGACTTATTTGCTCCGCCTTTCTTTTGTCATGATAAGTCTGTTATTTTGTATTTTGGCTTCGGGACCATCAGTAAAGATCCTTGTTTCACCATCTCTGCCTACTGCCTACTGTATATCCTGCACCCCACCTGGGTCACATCTCACCCTAACCCTTACACCTGAGATAAAATATAGCATAGTTTTGTTTGATAAAATCCATTTTTATATTCAAATGTAGGAACTGGGTTCTCCTAAGTCTCCTGAGTGGCGCAGTGGTCTAAGGCACTGCATCGCAGTGCTAACTGTGCCACTAGAGATCCTGGTTCGAATCCAGGCTCTGTCGCAGCCGGCCGCGACCGGGAGACTCATGGGCGGCGCACAATTGGCCCAGCGTCGTCCAGGGTAGGGGAGGGAATGGCCGGCAGGGATGTAGCTTAGTTGATAGAGCATGATGTTTGCAACGCCAGGGTTGTGGGTTCGATTCCCACGGGGGGCCAGTATAAAAAATATATATATATGTATTCACTAACTGTAAGTCGCTCTGGATAAGAGCGTCTGCTAAATGACTAAAATGTAAATGTAAAATGTACAGTTTGAACCCTTGCTGTCTCTGGCTCCACACCCACCCCGCCCGGCCATCTAGATGTGTGAAAGTTAGTGTATAAGCTAATGATCCATCATGTATGACATTCCTGGGAGTGTGTAAACTTACATTTTGCATTACCATATCATTTTTGTATGTTCTCTATAGTTATGTACTTGAAAATCTATCAATTGACCAATTCACACATTTGGGCAGACTTGATAGAAAATAGTTCAGTATTGCAATGCTTCACTGGATCAATCTGAATCTTTGCACACAAACTGATGCCATCTAGTGGCCAAGATCTCAATTGCGCCTAAACTGCAATATTATATTGTGGCCTTTCTCTTGCATTTCAAAGATGATTACTATTTATTTTTTTTACCAGATCTAATGTGTTATAGTCTCCTACATTAATTTCACATTTCCACAAACTTCAAAGTGTTTCCTTTCAAATGGTATCAAGAATATGCATATCTTTGCTTCAAGTCCTGAGCTACAGGCAGTTAGATTTGGGTATGTCATTTTAGGCGAAAATTGAAAAAAAGGGTCCGATCCTTAAGAGGTTAAAGGGTATATATGAACAATTTTAACAGGGAAAACAACTGTTACAAAACAACTCAACATCCACCCAGTAGCCTATTCACAACCAACAGTAATCTAATTTCACCTCATTCAAAAAATAACACAACTTTATATGTGCATTTGCAGAGACATTCTGAAAAGCAGTTGGATTTCTGTCAATTGCTCTGTGACATCATTGGGGGAACCACTCGCTGAACTGGTGGCATAGTAATCAATATTCAGCATTTTAGATCATGTAGCTAGGCTATCCTATGAAATTATTTTGCAACAAAATGTTCTGACACAGCAGCCAAGTAGTCAAATGATATGTCACAACATTTTGGATCATTTACAGATGCCCATGTCCATAGAGTGATAAATAGATGACAAGGTGCAAAGTATAGGACTGGCTATTCATCACTGAAATGTGCAGATCATAACAGCTGTAATATCATAATAATAACACAGTCATTTTGTAATGTAAAATATGAGACACAGTGATGGATTGATCAGAGGATGTTCATTCAACAAACAACCAGTTAGCTGTCCAACTCAATGCCTATCAAGTAGCCTACCCAGTACCCATGTGTCCAAAAGGCTACTGACTGAGAATGCCAAGAGTGTGCAAAGCTGTCATCAAGGCAAAGGGTGGCTATTTGAAGAATCTCTAATATAAAATATATTTTGATTTGTTTAACACTTTTTGGGTTACCACATGATTCAGTATGTGTCATTTCATAGTTTTGAGGTCTTCACTATTATTCTACAATTTAAAAAATTTAAAAAATAAAGGAAAACCCTTGAATGAGTAGGTGTGTCCAAACTTTGGACTGGAAGTGTACGTTTACAAACTGATGGGTTAAAATTAATATTGTTACTTTTTTAGGGATCAAATGTTTATAGAATGGAATTAATACTATGGTGCCTGGTAAAGAATGTTCTTCCCCATGACAACTTTGTGTGGGTTGGTGTGAGGTGTGACCCAGGTGCGGTGCAGGATAGACAGCAGGCAGTAGGCAGGGATGGTGAAACAAGGATCTTTACTGGTGGTCCCAAAGCCAGGATACAAAACAACGGACTATACACGAGAACAAATGAGGAGCACATAGGTCTCCAAAAAACAGGCGGACAGCAAACAATACGAAACACTAACTCTGACTGGAAAAAACACAATGACACAGGGAGAACACTTCTCGAGTACCTGTAACGTCATGTGATCCGACACTGATACGTACTGCTTTATATCAAGGAACTAGCAGAGAAAACTGAGCAAGGGAATACAGGGAAGTGAGGGCATAAATACACAGGTGAATCAGATAGCCACAGGTGACACCAATAGGCAGATAATTAGTCCCGACTGTGAGTGAGGAGGTGCCTCAGGTTGTCGGCGGATGACACCTAGTGGGTCGCTCCGGAACTGCGACCCACTCCTGTAACCGTTGAACGGCCCTAGCCGTTCACCTCAGCGGAACGACGGAATGCTGTATCAGCCCTGGGTCCAGAATGTCTGTCCTGGGCACCCCAGACCGCTCCACCGGCTCATAACCCTCCCAGTCCACCAGAAATAGGATCCGGTCCACCGTAAAAGCCGGCTGCCCTCCAACAAGGCGCAGCGAGGGAACAGAACAGGTGGCGACGGGCTAGAGGAGGGACACATAGATTGTGGGATGCACCGGCATGGTGCAGGCGGTACGTCACTGGGTTGACTCGCCGGACCACTCTGAATGGCCCGACGGGACCGCCGCCTCCTTCTCTTGCTCAGGGAATAGGGGCTCTTGGGGATAGGCAGGGGTCGGAGCAGCCCTGCCACAGGCTGACGTGAGGTCGGACACGTACGCCCACTGAAGCTGTCGCGAGCGCGCAGCCTTGGGTACGTACATCCTATCTGATGGACCTCCGCCCGGATCGGGCTCCCGCCGTAGCGCTGCTCTGACCAGCCTATTAATTCCCCACGAAACTGGGGCAGCCTTCAGGGCGTTGGGGACAATGGGATCGTCCCTCATGGCCAACGTCTCCGGCCGGGACAAGGAAAGCCATTGCCCTCGTGTGGGCATAGCGCACGGCAGGAGATCGATAGCTCAGTCATAAGGCCTGTGAGGAGGTAAGCCCTTGGCACGCCTCTTACTAAACCCCTCCCCCAGATCCCAATACTCCTGGGGAAGAGGTGAGGACTGGTAGGTGGTCTGGGACGGTGGTTTGGGCTGATGAGTGGTCGGTGGCGACCGGAACAGAACGGGGGCGGAGCCTCCCTCCAGGATGAACCGCCCCGTGGACCAGTCTATCCAGGGATTGTGGGCGACCAGCCAGGGGTGCCCGAGGATGAGGGGACACGCCGGAGAGTCCACAACGAAAAACTGGATATACTCCCATAGCCCCATAGCCCCCCCGCCACCCGGACATGCATGGGGACAGTGTGCTGGGTGAAGCAGCCCGACCCCAACGGCCCGCCGTCCAGGCCCATGACCGGAACTGGCTCCAGGTTTCCTGCGGCCCCATAATCCACCAGTGCATGCGCCCGACACGCAGCGCGGGCCCACTGAACCCTGACGGGGAGAAAAGACCGGGCGTCTCTGGAGTTGGGGTTTCGGTTCCGGCTAGCACCCCTCCCGATACCAGCGAGCCCTCCCATTTTCCCGGCTTCTCCAGGCATGAGTCGCCGTGGTGACCTGCGTGTCCGCAGTACCGGCAACGTCCCTGGGGCAGATGCCTCTGCCTCTCCATCCGGGACAAGCGCGCAGCACCCAGCTGCATAGCCTCCTCCTGAGGCGTCTCCTCCCTGAATCGGCGGAAAGCCTCCGGGCTGATAGAGTGACGCGGAGGCAAGCCTTGCATCATGCCTCTCTCATACGCACTCTCACGACGCCGATTGTCCACCCGCACAGAGAGGTCGAAGAGGCCGTCCAGTTGCTCAGGCAGCTCCCTGAAGGAGAGTTCGTCCTTCATCCCCTCCGATAGCCCCTGCGCGTACAGGACAAACATGGCAGCCTCTTACCAACCTTCCTCTCGAGCCCGGCTCCATGGAGTAGTCCACCACCGAATGGTCACCATGCTGACATGCCGTGAGCCGCCTCCCGGCCACGTGCCCCGATACCACCCAAGAGGTTTCGAACACCTTGCGTAACTCCCGGGTGAATTGGTAGACGTTGGAGCACGCCAGAGTTTGGCTCTCCCACTCTGCGGTTCCCAGGAAAGGGCCCGACCCGTCAACAGATTGATAATGTAGGCCACCCTGCTCCGTCGGAAAAGAGGAGGGTTGTAGGCTGAACATCAGGGAACACTGGGTGAGGAATTCCCTGCAGCCCTCTGGACCCGGAGGTGGTAGGCGGGGTTCCCGCGATGTCGCAGGCGAGACTGGAGACACCGCTGCCGCGGCTTCCGCTCCGCCGGGTGCCGGGACTGGTCGGGTGTCCACACGGCTCTGCACGGCGATCGTCAGCTGACGGAGATTCTTAATGACCCACTCCTGTAACAGACTTGTTTCATTAACACACTAGAAGGCCTTTTTATATATCATATATTCACGTCTGCTACAGGTACTATAAACAAACTATAACTATGGAGTTCTGGTTTAGACCTTGATGATCTATCTGTGGATCCAAGGCCTACCTCTAGATAGAGTCTAATTAATATATGCCTACTCTCTAACAATTAATACACTCTAACAGCAAATACACTCTCTTCCTATTATGTGGAGCAAAAAACAACTAGAATGGAGCCTCTCCTCTCTTCCATCAGGGAGGAATAATCATATGTTTTGCAAACTTAACAGAGAGTTTGATGTGTAATACAGTGCCTTCGGAAAGTATTCAGACACCTTGACGTTTTCCACATTTTGTAACGTTACAGCCTTATTCTAAAATTGATTAAATCGTTTTTTCCTACATCAATCTACACACAATACCCCATAATGATAAAGCAAAAACAGGTTTTTAGAAATATACATTTACATAATTATTCAGACCCTTTACTCAGTATTTTGTTGAAGCACCTTTGGCAGCGATTACAGCATTGAGTCTTCTTGGGTATGACGCTACAAGCTTGGCACACCTGTATTTGGGGAGTTTCTCCCATTCTTCTCTGCAGAACCTCTCAAGCTCTGTCAGGTTGGATGGGGAGCATCGCTGCACAGCTATTTTCAGGTCTCTCCAGAGATGTTCGATTGGGTTCAAGTCCGAGCTTTGGCTGGGCCACTCAAGGACATTCAGAGACTTGTCCCGAAGCCACTCCTGCATTGTCTTGGCTGTGTGCTTAGGGTCGTTGTCCTGTTGGAAGGTGAACCTTCACCCCAGTCTGAGGTCCTGGAGCAGGTTTTCATCAAGGATCTCTCTGTACTTTGCTCCATTCATCTTTCCCTCGATCCTGAAAAGTCTTCCAGTCCCTGCCGATGAAAAACATCCCCACTGCATGATGTTGCCACCAGCATGCTTCACCGTAGGGATGGTGCCAGGTTTCCTCCAGATGTGACGCTTGGCATTCAGGCCAAAGAGTTCAATCTCGGTTTCATCAGACCAGAGAATCTTGTTTCTCATGCTCTGAGAGTCCTTTAGGTGCCTTTTGGCAAACTCCAAGTGGGCTGTCATGTGCCTTTTACTGAGGAGTTGCTTCCGTATCATAAAGGCCTTGATTGGTGGAGTGCTGCAGAGATGGTTGTCCTTCTGGAAGGTTCTCCCATCTCCACAGGGGATCTCTGGAGCTCTGTCAGAGTGACCATTGGGTTCTTGGTCACCTCCCTGACCAAGGTCCTTCTCCCCCAATTGCTCAGTTTGGCCGGTGGTTCCAAACTTCTTCCATTTAAGAATGATGGAGGACGCTGTGTTCTTGGGGACCTTCAATGCTGCAGATGTTTTTTGGTACTCTTCCCCAGATCTGTTTAGGATTCCCCAGAATCTCTCTCTCTCTCTCTCTCTCTCTCTCTCTCTCTCTCTCTCTCTCTCTCTCTCTCTCTCTCTCTCTCTCTCCATATCTCTCTCTCTCGTTCTCTCTCTCTCTCTCTCCTCAGAGTGTAACTGCAGTGGGCGAGCGGATACGTGTGTGTTCGATGCGGATCAGTACCGCAGTACAGCCAGTGGGGGGCGCTGTTTAGACTGTAGGGACCAGACTGACGGACAGCACTGTGAACGCTGTAGAGAGAACCACTACCGACGGTCACCACAGGACCCATGCAGCCCCTGTGACTGTAACACCATAGGTAAACCATGTATTTTAGACTGCTTCATATTAAGGCATCATAAACATTAACTCAATCAATGTTTCATTCATTCACTAACATTCATTCATTCATCAAGGGCTAAATCATTCCTATTCAGTCAGTTAACTGTAACTTGTTATTGATCTTTAATCTAACTGAACCATTGATTGTAATCATTGCTTAGTCTAACTGTTCATTAGAGACACAACATCTTGGTGGTTTCTATATGCTATGTGGATGATGGTCAATAATGCATTAAATCCCTTACATACACTCATCATCATCATCATCATGGTAAGAATGTGGTTTGTGGCCAGACCCCCTAGGCCTATGATCATCTGTCCTTCCTGTGGTGTGTGTAGTCTACCTCAACCACTCTCTCTGTATCTATACTCTATCTATCTATCTATCTATCTATCTATCTATCTATCTATCTATCTATCTATCTATCTATCTATCTATCTATCTATCTATCTATCTATCTATCTATCTATCTATCTATCTATCTATCTATCTATCTATCTATCTATCTATCTATCTATCTATCTATCTATCTATCTATCTATCTATCTATCTATCTATCTATCTATCTATCTATCTATCTATCTATCTATCTATCTATCTATCTATCTATCTATCTATCTATCTATCTATCTATCTATCTATCTATCTCTTTCTCTCTCTCTACCTATCTATATATGTCTACCTATCTCTCCATCTACCTCTCTGTATCTATCTATCTCTCTCGTTCTCTCTCTCTCCCCCGCTCCTCTCTATCTCTCTCTCACACTCTCGCTCTCTTTCTGTCCCTCCCCTTCTCTCTCTCTCTCTTTCTCTCTCTCTCTCTCTCTCTCTCACTCAATCATTCTGTCTCTCTCCTCTCTCTCTCCCTCCCTTTCTCTCTCCCAGGTTCTGTGAGTCTGCAGTGTGGTGTGGAGGGGAAGTGTGAGTGCAGACCCAGTGTGACGGGGGAGAAGTGTGACACCTGTCAACCTGGCTTCCACTCCCTCAGCCCTGGCGGCTGCAGGTACACACACACACACACACACACACATAAACAAAAAAATTAACAAACACTTTGAAGACAGAGAGAGAGTAATAGAACAATGCAGTTGTTTTTTTAAGGATATTTTTTCTGTCTGTATGCGTCTAATCTACGGCCACGTTCAGTAGGCCACAATATTGTGGAACTATCTGCCGGTTCAGTACATTGCACTCTCCTGAATGCAACCCTGTGTGGGGTGTGTGTTCACATTTAATGTCAACATTCAGACATGCTATTTTAGTTTTATTCATGAGAAGCACATCTTAACTTTCCATGAACCTCTGGTGTAGAGTAGAGGAGCAATCCAATTCTAGTTTGTGTTTATTGATTTATTTTGTCATGCTGCAGTGGTTCTAGCCATTAGAAACACACTGTCCCTGACCCTATTTGCTTCTGTAGTGTTGAGGTGTACACCAGGGCTGAGCAGAGTACCAAAATATGGACTTTCTTCCAGTTTGTGACAATTATCCACTATTGCTGTTGTTGCTAATTCATTACTACTGTTGCCTGCTACTATTAACAATACCGCTATTTGCAATGTCTTTACTATCCCCTTGATATAGTAAACAGTACCTACTCCTATCCCATTAATATACTGTAGTAAACAGTACCTACTCCTATCCCCCTGATATAGCAAACAGTACCTACTCCTATCCCCTTGATATAGTAAACAGTACCTACTTCTATCCCCTTGATATAGTAAACAGTACCTACTCCTATCCACTTAATATAGTAAACAGTACCTACTCCTATCCCCTTGATATAGTAAATAATACCTCCTCCTATTCCCTTAATATAGTAAACAGTACCTACTCCTATCCCCTTAATGTAGTAAACAGTACCTACTCCTATCCCCTTAATATAGTAAATAGTACCTACTCCTATCCCCTTAATATACTGTAGTAAACAGTACCTACTCCTATCCCCTTGATATAGCAAACAGTACCTACTCATATCCCCTTGATATAGTAAACAGTACCTACTCCTATCCCCTTAATATAGTAAACAGTACCTACTCCTATCCCCTTGATATAGTAAACAGTACCTACTCCTATCCTCTTGATATAGCAAACAGTCCCTACTCCTATCCCCTTGATATAGCAAACAGTACCTACTCCTATCCCCTTGATATAGTCAACAGTACCTACTCCTATCCCCTTAATATAGTAAATAGTACCTACTCCTATCCCTTCTCACAACCAAGTTGTTCCTACAATGCCTCCTGCATGACGCACCACCACGACTCCTCTCTGGCTGTCTGTTGGACCTCAGGATTTGGTGCAAATCAATGTCCAAATCAAAGCTTGTTGACTCCTTGGCGACTCAAGGTGCTGTGAATGTTCATATCACAGCATGGACGATGTTTAGCTGAGTAATTCACACTGCAGACTAGAGAGAGGAGAGCAAAGAAGGACAAACACACTGAGGTAGAGAATCACAGCAAGGGCTATGTATGGACCTACACTGGTTTATAACACAGACACTTAAGGACACCAGACATACACGTGAGCATATGGAGAGACACACTTATACAGTGGGGAAAAAAAGTATTTAGTCAGCCACCAATTGTGCAAGTTCTCCCACTTAAAAAGATGAGAGAGGCCTGTAATTTTCATCATAGGTACACGTCAACTATGACAGACAAAATGAGGGGGAAAAATCCAGAAAATCACATTGTAGGATTTTTAATGAATTTATTTGCAAATTATGGTGGAAAATAAGTATTTGGTCACCTACAAACAAGCAAGATTTCTGGCTCTCACAGACCTGTAACTTCTTATTTAAGAGGCTCCTCTGTCCTCCACTCGTTACCTGTATTAATGGCACCTGTTTGAACTTGTTATCAGTATAAAAGACACCTGTTCACAACCTCAAACAGTCACACTCCAAACTCCACTATGGCCAATACCAAAGAGCTGTCAAAGGACACCAGAAACACAATTGTAGACCTGCACCAGGCTGGGAAGACTGAATCTGCAATAGGTAAGCAGCTTGGTTTGAAGAAATCAACTGTGGGAGCAATTATTAGGAAATGGAAGACATACAAGACCACTAATAATCTCCCTCGATCTGGGGCTCCACGCAAGATCTCACCCCGTGGGGTCAAAATGATCACACGAACGGTGAGCAAAAATCCCAGAACCACACGGGCGGACCTAGTGAATGACCTGCAGAGAGCTGGGACCAAAGTAACAAAGCCTACCATCAGTAACACACTACGCCGCCAGGGACTCAAATCCTGCAGTGCAGACGTGTCCCCCTGCTTAAGCCAGTACATGTCCAGGCCCGTCTGAAGTTTGCTAGAGTGCATTTGGATGATCCAGAAGAGGATTGGGAGAATGTCATATGGTCAGATGAAACCAAAATAGAATTTTTTGGTAAAAACTCAACTCGTCGTGTTTGGAGGACAAAGAATGCTGAGTTGCATCCAAAGAACACCATACCTACTGTGAAGCATGGGGGTGGAAACATCATGCTTTGGGGCTGTTTTTCTGCAAAGGGACCAGGACGACTGATCCGTGTAAAGGAAAGAATGAATGGGGCCATGTATCGTGAGATTTTGAGTGAAAACCTCCTTCCATCAGCAAGGGCATTGAAGATGAAACGTGGCTGGGTCTTTCAGCATGACAATGATCCCAAACACACCCCCCGGGCAATGAAAGGAGTGGCTTCGTAAGAAGCATCCTGGAGTGGCCTAGCCAGTCTCCAGATCTCAACCCCATAGAAAATCTTTGGAGGGAGTTGAAAGTCTGTGTTGCCCAGCGACAGCCCCAAAACATCACTGCTCTAGAGGAGATCTGCATGGAGGAATGGGCCAAAATACCAGAAACAGTGTGTGACAACCTTGTGAAGACTTACCGAAAACGTTTGACCTGTGTCATTGCCAACAAAGGGTATATAACAAAGTATTGAGAAACTTTTGTTATTGACCAAATACTTATTTTCCACCATAATTTGCAAATAAATTCATTAAAAATCCTACAATGTGATTTTCTGGATTTTTCCCCCTCATTTTGTCTGTCATAGTTGACGTGTACCCATGATGAAAATTACAGGCCTCTCTCATCTTTTTAAGTGGGAGAACTTGCACAATTGGTGGCTGACTAAATACTTTTTTTCCCCACTGTACATGGACAGGTGTGTGGGCATGGTATGCTTGCTCCATTCCTCTCTCTCACATAGACATGCACACACAAACTTTCCTCTTCCCTCCTCCCTCTCCCTCTCCATCCCTCCATCTCTCTCCCTCCCTCTTCCTTCCTCTCCCTCCATCCCTCTCTCCCTCCATCCCTTCCTCAGTCTGCCAGTGTGCTGATCTGAAGAGTGAGGTGTGAATTACACAGGCCAGTGGAGCAGAACAGAGTAGAAGCCTGCCCATTGGATAATTGAATTATTCTTAATAGCAACCTTGTTAAAATATTGATTTTGTGTTACAGTTCTGGAGGAAAACAATCAATCAATGAAGGTGATCAAACATGTTTTCATAGAACAAAGCTTTTGATTGACACAGCTTGCGACCCCACCTAACCAATCATGGTCTGGTGATCAGGCTGTTTTCAGCGTGTGTGTATGTGTGTGCGAGTGAAAGAGAGCGAGCAAAGACTAAACAACCCTTGCCAGCGTAATTAATCAATGAAACAACATGTACACTGTGAAACAGAGACACAACCAAATACTCAACCAAATATCAATTTTGACTTTCTTACCTATGTGTTAACCTACAGTAAGTGTCCCATGATGTTATGACCCCAGTCATAACCAGTTTGACCTCTGGCTGACCTTATACCTTTACCCGATGTTGTTATTGTCTCTCTACAGGTCGTGTGACTGTGACCGTAGGGGCAGTGTGGGCGTCTGCTCTGTGCTGGATGGTGGATGTCACTGCAGGGCTAACGTGGAGGGACAGGCGTGTGACAGGTGACCCGTGATATTCTACTGCGTCATCACCTTATATAACATAATACTACCCTCCGGTTACCACGGTGACACAGACTCCCAGGAACGTTTTCAGTGTTGCCAATTTAGTGACTTTGTCACTATATTTAGCGAGTTTTCAGACTCCACCAGCAACACTTATTGGTAAAAGAGGCTAGCGACAGATTCAGCTACTTTTCAGGCTGCCTTTGAGGAGTTTTGACACTGAGGATTTCTACTGTTTTAAAAGCATTTAGTGACTTTTCCCACTCAATTCTGCTGCAAACGACAGTGGGAGAAGCTGTCTGCAACAGAAGTCACAGCAACGGTGCAGACACAGAAAGAGCACAAGGGGAGGGGGTGTGCGGCGGGAGAGGATTGAAAACGCTACGTCAGGAACCGCAGCAAGGCAAAACATAATCTAGTGACTTCTAGCAACAAATCAAGGAGCCAATAGCGATTTTCACTGAAAAATAGTTGGCAGCTCTTTGATCCATTAAGAATGGCAATAAAAACTGTAACATAGAGGCTCAGAATAAATTAGAGGAAAAACAAAAAGAAATGGAGAAACTTATTCAAGAAAGATCAAGTGTAATATATTATAAAAAATAAAGCAAACTGGATGGAATATGGGGAAAAATGCACAAAATTCTTTTTTAATCTTCAACATAGGAATGCTACCAAAAATAATTTAATGAAACTGGTTACAATTGACGGAGTCACCCATGATTCACCAAATTATATTTTGAAGGAGGAAACAAAGTACTTTAAGCATATGTTTTATTTTCAGTCGCCTCCATCTCCTCTAACTGAAGCTAATTGTAGAGATGTTTTTTCTATTGATAATGTAAAATTAACAGCCATACAGAAAGACTCATGTGAAGGTGAAATTACAGAGGAGGAACTTCTGGATGCAATTAAAGACTTTAAGTCCGGGAAAACTCCAGGGTTGTATGGCATACCAGTCGAGGTATACCAAACCTTTCTTGATATACTAAGAGGACCGTTATTAGCATGTTTTAACCACTCCTATGTAAATGGTAGATTATCTGACACTTAAGAAGAAGGTCTGATCTCATTATTACTGAAACAGGATACAAGTAGAAAATATAAAGATCCAGTCCATTTAAAAAATTGAAGGCCCCTTACACTTCAGTGTTGTGATGCAAAAATTCTAGTAAAATGTATAGCGCATATAATTAAAAAGGTATTGTCGGATATTATTCATTCTAATCAGACAGGTTTTTTACATGGAAGATACATTGGAGATAATATAAGGCAAATATTGGAAACAATAGAACACTATGGAAAATCTGGGAAACCAGGCCTGCTATTCATAGCAGACTTCGAAAAGGCATTTGATAAAGTACGACTGGGTTTATATATAAATGCCTGGAGCATTTCAATTTTGGAGAATCTCTTATAAAATGGGTCAAAATCATGTATAGTAACCCTAGGTGTAAAATAGTAAATAATGGCTATTTCTCAGGAAGTTTTAAACTGTCAAGAGGAGTAAAACAAGGTTGTCCACTATCGGCATATCTATTTATTGTGCCCATCGAGATGTTAGCTATTAAAATCAGATCCAATAATAATATCAGAGGATTAGAAATCCAGGGCTTAAAAACAAAGGTGTCATTGTACGCTGATGATTCATGTTTTCTTTTAAATCCACAACTAGAATCCCTCCACAGCCTCATAGAGGATCTAGATACATTTTCTAACCTCTCTGGATTACAACCAAATTATGACAAATGTACTATATTACGTATTGGATCACTAAAAAATACAATTTTTACATTACCATGTAGTTCACCAATAAAATGGTCTGATGGTGATGTGGATATACTCGGAATACATATCCCAAAGGAAAAAAATTATCTCACTTCAATACATTTTAATAGAAAGTTAGCAAAAATAGATAAGATCTTGCTACCATGGAAAGGTAAATACCTGTCATTTTGTGGAAAAATCACCCTGATTAACTCTTTAGTATTATCCCAGTTTACCTATTTGCTTATGGTCTTGCCTACGCCTAGCGAACAGTTTTTGAAATTATATGACAAAAAAATATTCCATTTTATTTGGAACGGCAAGCCAGACAAAATTAAACGGGCGTATTTATATAATGAATATGAATTCGGAGGACAGAAATTATTAAATATTAAAGCATTAGACCTATCACTAAAAGCTTCAGTCATACAAAAGTTATACTTAAATCCGAACTGGTTCTCAAGCAAATTAGTAAGATTGTCTCACCCAATGTTCAAGAATGGCCTTTTTCCCTTTATTCAGATTACAACCACTCATTTTCAGTTATTTGAAAAGGAAATCATCTCCCAAATATCACTATTTCTAAAAGCCATAGAAAGTTGGTTGCAATTTCAATTTAATCCTCCAGAAACGACAGAACAAATAAGGCAACAAATATTGTGGTTAAATTCAAATATACTAATTGACAAAAAACCTTAATTTTTTGACCAAATGTTTAAAAAAGGTATAATCTTCGTAAATGATATCATCGGTAGGACTGGTGGAGTTATGTCGCACATGCAGCTAACAAAAACATATGGAAATGTCTGCTCTACCCAAAATTACAACCAAATAATTGCAGCCTTACCGCAAAAATGGAAGAGGAAAGTGGAAGGGGGAGAAAGTAAGAAACTTGTCTGTCGGCCTTGCATTAAAGAACATAATTGGTTAAGGAAAACTGTGATAAATAAAAAAGTATATCAGTTTCATTTAAGTTCCAAAGGATTGACAGCCGTTCCATATAGATTGCAAAATAGTTGGGAAGAGATTTTTGACGTACCGATCCCATGGCATAGTGTTTATGAACTGACACGCAAAACGACACCGGATTCAAAAATTACAATCTTTCAATTTAAATTATTATATAAAATTCTTGCTACCAATAGAATGTTATTTATATGGGGGATACAATCTTCCCAGCTCTGCAGATTTTGCTGTGAAGAGACAGAATCCTTAGATAATTTGTTTTGGTTCTGTCCATTTGTAGCTTGTTTTTGGACACAAGTCCAGGAATGGCTAAAGGATTGCAATATTTACCTGGAGCTAACCTTGCAGATAGCATTACTGGGTGATCTGAAAAGTCATAGTCAATCGATCAATAATATAATAATACTTTTAGCAAAAATGTTTATTTTTAATTCACAATCTGTAGAAACAATGAGAATAGAAAGGTTCAGAACTTTTGTAAAACATCACAGTACAGTTGAAATATATATGGCAAATAGAAATCCTATATGGATGGTGTTAAGAGATAGATGGGAGGTGTTGAATGGAGTTGAAGAATGGGACTAATAACAACTAACAACAAATAATAACAAGAACTAATAATGTAAGCATACTGTGTCCATAATAAGTATATAGGTTGTATGTTGGGAGCTTTTGGGAAAGAGCACAGTTAGAAAGATATGGCATATAGAAGCAAACCGGATGGACATCATGAAAATGATCGGAGAGGTTGAGAGTAGAAGAAGTTCAGGAGAAAAAACAAACAAAATATAATTATTGTATAATTGACTGTGTCCATAAAATATAGATAGTAAGTATAATCTGGAAGTAGAGGCCTAAGCATTGTTGTTCACTAATTTACCCCAAGTAGGGAAAGGATGGCGGGGTTGAAAAGTAATAAAGGGGAGTATATATATATATAAAAAACATGGGGGATTGGAAGTGATGCAGACAATTACATTGATGGAAGTTACAATCTATCTGCAATATTAAGCTGAACTACCCCTAAGAAAAAAAAGAAAAAAATAATGGCAGCTAACACTTGGTTCTGCTTCCCACTGTTAGGACAGTGGCGTACAGGATTAAGCTTTGATGCTGCCTGCTGCCATTGTTCAACAGAATATATCTTGACATTTTATGGCACCACTCTTTGACAAATAGTCTCCAAATAGAGTTGGCACGGTAACCCATTGAAAACAGTTTTTCAAACTAACAGACAGGTAAATTTTTTCAAGAATATTATTCACAGTGTAAATGGTATTGTATACTGAACAAAAATATAAACGCAACATGCAACAATTTCAAAGATTTTACTTAGTTACAGTTCCTATAAGGAAATCAGTCAATTTAAATGAATAAATTAGGCCCTAATCTATGGATTTCACATGACTGGGAATACAGATATGCATCTGTTGGTCACAGATAACTTTTTTTTTTAATGGGCCTCACACTGGGCCTCAGGATCTCGTTACGGTAGCTCTGTGCATTCAAATGGCTTTAAAATGGCCATCAATAAAATGCAATTGTGTTCGTTGTCCGTAGCTTATGCCTGCCCATACCATAACCCCACCGCCACCATGGGGCACTGTGTTCACAATGCTGACATCAGCAAACCGCTCGCCCACGTGGTACACGTGGTCTGTGGTTGTGAGGCCGATTGGACATACTGCCAATTTCTCTAAAACGACATTGGAGGCGGCTTATGGTAGAGAAATTAACATTAAATTCTCTGGCAACATCTCTGGTGGACATTCCTGCAGTCAGCATGCCAATTGCACTCTCCCTCAAAACTTCAGATATCTGTGGCATTGTGTTGTGCCATTTTAATGACCCCAACACAAGGTGCACCTGTGTAATGATCATGCTGTTTAATCAGCTTTTTGATATGCCACACCTCAGGTGGATGGATTATCTTGGAAAAGAATAAATGCTCACTAACAGGGAAGTAAACAAATGTGTGCCAAAATATGGTGAGAAATAAGCTTTTTGTGCATATGGAAAATTTCTGGGATCTTTTATTTCAGCTTATGAAACATGGGACCAACACTTTACATGTTGCGTTTATATTTTTGTTCAGTGTAGTATCCTTTTATTCATAGTCAGTCAGGACACATATCAATCAGTGGCGGTCGGTACCATTTAAGATTAAGGAGGACGAATATTTTTTTAATGAGCATGTCCTTATTTCTATTACAGCATATTGGATGACTGTAATTTATATTCCACTCACCCAGCTCAATGTAACATCCATAGCTTTAGGCTACTACATGATACTCACATTTTCCCTATACCCATCATGAGGTTGCTACAACCTAGCCTATGAATGAAAGTTTACAACATAGGTGCACAGGTCGAGGCACCCCAATGGTAGGACAGCAGAGTCCCTGCCCATCTTCCGAAGACATCTGAAACCCTATCTCTTCAAGCAGTATCTTAAATAATCCTCCTCCTCACCTAAAAATGTAAAAATAACACTTAACCAGCACTGTCTGTGACCAGGTGAAAAAACCTTTCCAAGCAAAACCTTCACATCATAACCGTTAACTGCTACACACAGCCTGCATCGTTGTCACCATATTAGCTAACATCAGTAAATATAGCTAATAGAACTAACGTGTTAGTAAACCTGCTACAATCATGCAGTACAGTCAGCAAGCAGTTTAGCAGTTACAATGGCGGGCCCCGGTGGTAATAAATTAATTAAACCAAAACCTTATCTTGACTTGGAAGAGTTCCAGTGTTGGATAGCCATAGCCATCTAGCTAACATAGCATCACACTGTTTGAGCCGGGTGTTTGAGTAGCCTAAACTAGCTAGCTGCATTCGCTAGCTAAGTAAAAGTGAAAAAAATACTACAAAATATAGCTAGCTCTCTCTTGCTTCTCCTTCATTTTTAAATAAATACATTTGTTCAAAACTGTTCAACCATTGTCTTTCTTTCTCCTTGAGTCAACTACTCACCACATGTTATGCACTGCAGTGCTAGCTAGCTGTAACTTATGTTTTCATTACTAGATTCATGCTCTGATCCTTTGATTGGGTGGACAACATGTCAGTTCATGCTGCAAGAACTCTGATAGATTGGAGGACGTCCTCCGGAAGTTGTCATAATTACTGCGTAAGTCTATGGAAGGAGCTGAGAACCACAAGCCTCCTAGGTTTTGTATTGAAGTCAATATACCCAGAGGAGGACGGAAACTAGCTGTCTTCCGTCTACACCATGGTGCTACCCTACAGAGTGCTGTTGAGGCTACTGTAGACCTTCATTGCAAAACTGTGTGTTTTAATCAATTATTTGGTTGACATGTGAATCTATTTAATATAGTTTTATCTAAAAAATTATACTCACTATATTCATATATATTTTTTTATATTCATATATATATTTTTATGAAATTCATTGAGAAGGATGGTCCTCCCCTTCCTTATCTGAGGAGCCTCCACTGGTATCAATGTGATGTGTTCTGGGGCCTTTTTAGTCAAAATGTTTCTGAAAAGACTAGGGGAAACATGATTATTTTTGACTTTCTGTCTGTACTCAATCCTCTCTACTCTATGTTTTATCATTCTTCTTCTGCTCTCTATGAATTGCGTGATCAGACAGACAGAACACAGACAAATCACTAGTTTGATATTACACGCAACCACAAGGTCTCCAGTGTTAAATTATTCTTTGCTGTTTTCTAGCTTGTTTATTTTGTTGTGTTGTGTATTATTTCATGCTTCATTGAACAAGGACTCTCTTTCCCTTACATAGTTCTGTTTCTAAACACCACACACACACAAACACCCACTAAGACACACAGAACCTCCCCCCCACACACAAAAACACACACCACCTGACTCCCCTACACACACAGCCACACAAACACACACACACACACACACACACCACCACACTTCCCTACACACACACACACACAAACTTCTCTCCAGTACACACACACATACACACCCAGACACCAACACACACACCTACACACACCGGTGGTCTCCCCTACAGCAGTCTGTCTGGAGGTCATGGTAGTGTATCACAGTGTGAGACCAGCTGGGGGGTGATTGGCCTAGGCCTCCTCCTCGGCCCAACACTGCAAAGAGACAGCAACACATGTTCACTTGGCAGACTCTCTCATCTACACTGACTCACATGGCCTAGTGATGATCTCTGAGCTTGCTCCACAATATGGAGACATTAGCCACAACAAGCTACACAGAAACAGTGGCTAAAGCAGCACAGGAGTGCAATGATGAAGCATATAATTATGATATGTTTTGTGTGTCAGGCTTTCTGTTAGCCAGCAATTGGCGTTTTTTTTTTTTTTTTTTAAGCAATAAATAAAACTGTTGCTGGCCAAAATTACCAGGAGAATAAAAAATCCCATTGCAAAATAATGCTTTTTATTCATTGATGGAAATACCAGTCGATGTAAACACATCATGCTTATCGGTCTAAAGGTTCATTTGATCTTTTTGTGGAATTAAATTGGCCTGTGTGTATTTCCGTTAGTCATTATGTATCTTATTTATCCTACACATCACATGCATACAGAGCGTATTTTGAGTGAGATTTCACCTGCAGCTCCTCAGCTGGTTACTGCTGGAGTAAAACATGCTTTTATCAGTCCATTCATTGAGCAACAATTCTAAATTCAGTCATGTGTTTAAAACAGTTTTGGTCCACGATTAAAAAGAGATACTATTTTTATTTCTCAACTGGTAATTGAAGAGCGCCCCCCATTCCCCATTCAAGTGCAGGCAACAGGCTATCAGCCGCCACTTTACAATGTGAGCTGAAGGCAGTTTGCATTTTGAAAATTGTTTTATTTCATATTATGAGGCATGTCTTTTATAAAGACTTCATAGGCGGCGCGTGAGTTTCAAGTTTGGGGAAGCTTACAATTTATCTTACAATTTCTACCGCTCTGCATGTCAGTTATGATTTTCATATCTGCATTTTCGTGGAACAGTTTCATTTCAATAATAACGTTTTCCTTTCTCAAAATCATTGTAATGTTGTTAATCATAAAAATCATAATTAAAATGATAATATCTAAAAGTTTAAAGTCCACTAATGCGAGATCACCAGCCTCTGCCATATGGACACGTTGATACACCGCGATCCATTAGCAGCGAAAGAGATGAGCGCATGGAACTCATAGCCTATAGACCATTGCTCTTTCACACTGTGGAAATTGGGGTTATTGAGGTGGAAATTGTTGGAAAGATTTCTGAAATAGCTTACTGTGAGGAGCTATACTTTAAATATATTATCATTCGCAATGGATGTAAAAAAACAACAACACTTTCCTACATTTCCTCGCAGCAGGCCAGGTACTTCTATGCGTGCTTAGGCGCGCACGCTCCCTCAATATCAGACACATGCTCATTGCTCACATGGAGCACTCAAAACAAAAAAATAGAAAAAATAGAAAAATCTCATAAATGATGGTTCTGAAATAAACCAAAACTAGCAGGTACTCAGAATGAAAACGGTAAATGACTGTAATTAATACATGCGTTAACAGAAATGTATGTAACCAAATTACAGGGATTAACGGTACATTTACTACTGGTGATAATATATAATAGGGAATTGATAAAAAAAAGGTAAAACAATTCACACAATGAAACAATGAATGCGCAAGTATTGGCGGGAGAAAGCTGAGCCATTCTGGAGAGAGACTTGTCTATATATTCGCCACACACCCCTCACCTTCTTCTTGTCTCAACATTTTAAATGATACTCCAGACACATTATCTTCACACATATTTTTAACTGACAGCCGCAATTCAATCATCAGCTAGGCCTACTGCCAAGCGCACTGCCCAAATTGCAGGCTTCCCAACAGCTTGTGATTTGAAACAATCCACAGCTATTTTTTCAAATAAAATAATTCTCGATTCCTCTGTGGCTAAGTCTGGTGAAGTATTTTGAATTATTTTATTTATTGCTGTATAGACAGGAGTAATTATATGATTTTGGCAAACTAATTTCTCTCCTGTTCCATTGGTTTTCATTTCAACTTTCTTTCGATGCCAGAAGCCAAAGGCACAATCCTAGTCATATTAGCAACCCATCCTCAAAGTTGCATCTTTAGATTCCAACAACGATTTTCATCTCTGTCACATATGGAACCGCTATCAGGTGCGCTGTTTAGAATGGTGTTTTCCCAGGTGCGCTGTTTAGAATGGTGTTTTCCCAGGTGCGCTGTTTAGAATGGTGTTTTCTCGCGAAATGCTTTTTGGCAAATATTAGAAAATGGCAATTTATTGGCTGCTTCTTTACATGAGTTCCTTGTTCTATTAAGATGCATTACCATAATCTAGATTTGATTTCTGTCATTCTGAGCACTGTGGGAGGAAGCCCTAATGGGTTATGCACCCAATGAATATGGGTCCGGCAGATTTCTCAAATGGCCGGTAAATTAAAATTTTCCGGGTCACGTTGTCCGGCGCCACATTTTCCTAATGGAAACCCTGGTGTGTGTGTGTGTGTTTGTGTGTGTGTGCAGGTGTAAACCAGGCTCCTTCAACCTGCAGGAGAACAATCCAGCTGGCTGTATGCCCTGTTTCTGCTTCAGACACTCATTGGCCTGCAGATCGTCCAATCACCATGCAGCTGTCAACATCACATCTGACTTCCTTGAAGGTATTCAGCCAATCATGATTATCTTGAAAGTACGGCATTCAGCTAATAACTAGCTAATGACTTTCATAAGTTATCAGCTAATTATGAACTCCTTATATTGTGGTCATCATCCTGAATCATTCTGCCATGTTCCTCCTCCTCCTCCCCCCTCCCTCCCTCCCTGCAGACACAGATGGCTGGTCAGGCCAGTTCTCCGGGGTACAGGAGTATCCTCTGCTGTGGAAGGAAGGGGAGGTCTACTTGCTACCACTCAGTGAGGACGACCTCGGCTTCTACAGAGCTCCAGGTGAGAAAGACAGCGCTGACACACACTCACACATACACAGAGAGAGCTGACGTCACCTTTAAGGTGAGATATGAGTAGGAGTTTTCCCAGACATAAAACCTGGCCAGGAACAATGTATAGGAGAAGATCTGGACCCTAGAGTTTATAGGAGAAGATCTGGTCCCTATAGTTTATAGGAGAAGATCTGGGCCATAGAGTTATAGGAGAAGATCTGGGCCCTAGTTTATAGGATAATATCTTGGCCCTAGAGTTATAGGAGTGTCAAAGTGCGACGTGAATGCGGTAGGCCAAGTCAAACGCAGGACACCGAGCTACTGGAAACGTACTTTACTAACAAAGTAACCAGAGTACAAAACAACCTCCAAACAGGGAGGAGAATACCCGCACAATAGCAACTGCCGAAAATGACGAGAACAATCACACACAACACACAATGAACGACAGAGGGTTATATAGGGAATACAATACAACATAATAGGAAACAGGTGTACACAATCAAGACAAAACAAGTCAAACACAGAAACACAGCAGCGGTAGCAGCTAGTACTCTGGGGATGAAGAACGCCGAAGCCTGCCCGAGCAAGGAGGAGGAGGAGCCTCGGCTGATTCCGTGACAGTAACCCCCCCCCTTGACGCGCGGCGCCAGCCGTGCGCCGACCCCGGCCTCGGAGCCTCACTGCGGTGGCGATCGGCGCTCGCCTTTTGCCGCCTGATAGCCCACTGCAGATGGACATGCGCAGCGTTCCAAGTTTCTTCCGAGCGCCGAAACCACTCGTCCACCGCAGGGTCTTCGGTCTGGCTCTGATGCCAAGGTGCCAGGACCGGCTGATAACCTAGCACACACTGGAAAGGCGTAAGGTTAGTGGACGAATGGCGGAGTGAGTTTTGGGCTATCTCTGCCCAGGGAATATATCCCGACCACTCCTCTTGCCGGTCCTGGCAATACGACCTCAGAAACCTACCCACATCCTGGTTCACTCTCTCCACCTGCCCATTACTCTCGGGGTGAAAACCTGAGGTAAGGCTAATCGAGACGTTCCCAGACGTTCCATAAACGCCCTCCAGACTCTAGAGGTGAACTGGGGACCCCGATCAGACATTATATCCTCAGGCACCCCATAGTGCCGGAATACGTGTGTAAACAGGGCCTCAGCAGTTTGTAGGGCAGTAGGGAGACCTGGCAGGGGAATGAGACGGCAGGCTTTAGAAAACCGATCCACAACGACCAAGATCGTAGTGTTCCCCTGGGAGGGGGGAAGGTCCGTGACAAAATCCACCGATAGGTGAGACCACGGCCATTGTGGAACGGGTAGGGGTTGTAACTTCCCCCTGGGCAGGTGTCTAGGCACCGTACACTGGGCGCACACCGAGCAGGAGGAAACATAAACCCTCACGTCTTTCGCTAAAGTAGGCCACCAGTACTTCCCACTAAGGCAGTGCACTGTCCGACCAATACCCGGATGACCAGAGGAGGGTGACGTGTGAGCCCAGTATATCAAACGATCGCGAACCTCGAGCAGCACGTACTTCCGACCCTCTGGACACTGTGGAGGAGTAGGATCGGAACGTAACACCCGCTCGATTTCCGCATCAACCTCCCACACCACCGGTGCCACCAGACAAGACTCCGGGAGTATGGGAGTGGGCTCAATGGACCTCTCCTCTGTGTCATATAGTAGGGACAGGGCGTCTGCCTTAGCGTTCTGGGACCCTGGTCTATAGGTGAGCTTAAATACAAAGCGGGAGAAAAACATAGCCCACCTTGCCTGGCGAGGGTTCAGCCTCCTCGCTGCCCGAATGTACTCCAGGTTATGTCTGGAGTACATGCCTCAGCCGACCACTGCAGGCGCACCGGACCCCCCTTTAGCAGAGATGTAATGGGAGCTGCTATCTGTCCAAAGCCCCGGATAAACCTCCGGTAGTAATTGGCAAAACCCAAGAAGCGCTGCACCTCCTTTACCGTGGTGGGAGTCGGCCAATTACGCACGGCAGAAACGCGGTCAATCTCCATCTCTACCCCTGACGCGGACAACCGATGTCCCAGGAAGGAGATGGACTCCTGGAAGAACAGACATTTCTCCGCCTTCGCATACAGGTCATGCTCCAACAGTCTACCAAGCACTCGACGCACCAGGGACACATGCTCGGCTCGTGTAGCGGAGTATATTAGAATGTCATCAATATATACCACTACACCCTGTCCATGCAAGTCCCGGAAAATCTCGTCCACAAATGATTGGAAGACTGAAGGAGCATTCATTAAACCGTATTGCATGACGAGGTACTCATAGTGACCAGAGGTGGTACTGAATGCTGTCTTCCACTCATCTCCCTCCCTAATGCGCACCAGGTTGTACGCGCTCCTGAAATCCAATTTTGTGAAGAATCGCGCCCCGTGTAATGACTCCATCATACTAGCAATCAGAGGGAGAGGATAGCTGTATTTGATTGTGATCTGATTGATACCACAGTAATCAATACACGGGCGTAAACCCCCATCCTTCTTCTTCACAAAAAAGAAACTCGAGGACGCAGGGGAAGTGGACGGCCGTATGTAACCCTGTCTCAGAGATTCGGTGACGTAGGTCTCCATAGCTGCCGTCTCCTCCTGAGACAGAGGATACACGTGACTACGTGGAAGCGCAGCGCCTACTTGGAGGTCTATCGCACAATCCCCCTGTCGATGAGGTGGTAATTGAGTCGCCTTCTTTTACTGAAGGCGAGTGCCAAATCGGCATACTCAGGTGGAATGTGCAAGGTGGGAACTTGGTTCGGGCTTTCCACCGTCGTTGATCTACGGAAACGCCTACACACCGCCCAGTACACTGATCAGACCATCCCTTGAGAGCTCTCTGTTGCCATGAAATGTTGGGGTCATGAGTGGTTGGGGTCATGAGGGACCAGGGATGCCCCAACACCACGGGAAACGCAGGAGAACAAACGTAATATCTCCTCATGGCCCTCCTGCGTTTTCATCCGGATAGGCGCCGTGACCTCCCTAATCAATCCTGACCCCAAAGGGTGGCTATCTAGGGCATGGATAGGGAAGGGCACATCAACAGGTACGATAGGAATCCCTAACTTATAGGTGAACTGGCGATTGATAAAATTCCCAGCTGCGCCTGAATCTACTAGCGCCTTATGCTGGGAGTGAGGAGAAACCTCGGGAAACACCACTTTAATACACATATGAGCAACAGAGAGCTCTGGGTGAGTTGGGTGCCTACTCACCTGGAATGACTCATCAGTGCGTCGCCCACTGCCTCGATTCCTAGGAGACCCTCCTCAGCACCGACCAGCAGTGTGTCCTCTGCGGCCACAGTTGGTGCAGGGGACGGCCTCCCTCCTGGTCTCCCTCCTGGTCTCCCTAGCACCAGCACCCCCGAGCTCCATAGGGGTCGGCTCGGAAGTGCTGGGGGATGGAATGGACGGCCCCGAATCCGGACGTCCGCGGGTAGCCAACAGGGTATCCAGGCGAATAGACATGTCCACCAGTTGATCAAAGCTGAGGTTGGTGTCCCTGCAGGCCAATTCCCGACGCACGTCCTCCCTCAGGCTACATCTATAGTGGTCGATGAGGGCCCTCTCATTCCATCCCGCGTTGGCAGCCAGCGTCCGGAAGTCCAGCGCAAACTCCTGCGCGCTCCTCCTCCCCTGTCTAAGGTGGAATAGACGCTCACCCGCCGCTTTACCCTCTGGTGGATGATCGAATACTGCCCGGAAGCGGCGGGTGAACTCTGCATAGTTGACCGTAGCGGCGTCTACCCCACCCCACTCGGCGTTGGCCCACTCCAGCGCCTTGCCGGACAGACAGGAGATGAGGGCGGACACGCTCTCGTATCCTGAGGGCGCCGGGTGAATGGTTGCTAGGTAGAGTTCAACCTGGAGTAGGAAACCCTGGCACTCGGCCGCTGTGCCATCATAAGCCCTCGGGAGCGAGAGCCGAATCCCACTGGACCCCGGAGGTGAAGCGATGGGCACCGCCGATGGTGGTGGTATCGTTGGAGGGGGTATAGGTAGACCCCCTCTTTCCCATCGCTTAATGGTGTTCACCACCCGTTCCATGGCGGTGCCGAGAGCCTGGATCATGGCCGCTTGGTGTTCGACGCGTGCCTCCATAGATCCAGCTGGCACCGCCGCTCCTGCTGACTCCATGAGTGGTGTGTGATTCTGTCAAAGTGTGACGTGAATGCGGTAGGCGAAGTCAAACGCAGGACACCGAGCTACTGGAAACGTACTTTACTAACAAAGTAACCAGAGTACAAAACAACCTCCAAACAGGGAGGAGAATACCCGCACAATAGCAACTGCCGAAAATGACGAGAACAATCACACACAACACACAATGAACGACAGAGGGTTATATAGGGAATACAATACAACATAATAGGAAACAGGTGTACACAATCAAGACAAAACAAGTCAAACACAGAAACATAGATCGGTAGCAGCTAGTACTCCGGGGACGACGAACCTGCCCGAGCAAGGAGGAGGAGCAGCCTCGGCTGATTCCGTGACAAGGAGAAGATCTGGGCCCTAGTTTATATGATAATGTCTGGGCCCTAGAGTTATAGGAGAAGATCTGGGCCGTAGAGTTTATAGGAGAAGATCTGGGCCCTAGAGATTATAGGAGAAGATCTGGGCCCTAGTTTATAGGAGAAATTCTGGGCCCTAGAGTGATAGGAGAAGTGTATGCATTTCCGGGATGAGGAAAGATTACACAAAGATGGTCTGTGCTTGGAGAGAGCTCAGACACCTCCTGGTCTTTTAACATGTAAATATGTAAATCATATTACCGTCTGCCACCTATAATACCCTTGGCTTGTTGCTCGAGATAATTCCTTTGTTAGATTAAACAATGCCTCATAACATTAGCCATAAGGTCATAAAGCACTTACTGCAACACCATTTTGTCACAGCAGACTCTTAACACGACCATTAGGAGATAAGAGTTATAGCTGGCTCTGCTACAGGACTGGCTCTGCTGCTCTCCCTGTGCTCTGTCCCAAATGGCATCCTATTCCCTACACTACCCTATAGACCCTGTTCAAAAGTAGTGCACTAAATAGGGAATAGGGTGCCATTTGGGACTAAAGCCTATATATCAGTAGGAGAGACTAGGCCTGATGGAATTGGATGTCTTGGCCATAGCTGGAAGAAGAAGAAAGGGGAAATCAGCCTGGCTCAGCTCAGGCTGGCTACTCAGTGCACCAAGGACCAAGCCCAGCGAAGCAGCAGCCAACAGGGAGAGGGATAGAGAGAACCAGAAACAGCAGAAATCCCATTAACTACCAAAACATCCTGATGGTTTCATGTTCAAACTCTTTGATCACACTAAACAAGTTCATTCAGACAGGCGTCTTTTCATGTGTGAAAAGCCTTAAATCACTGAAGACGCCTCGGAGGAAAGACGCTTTGGTCCGCTTGGTCCAGGGATCTTTTTTGAGTTTCTTATATGTCGTTAAGTCGACTTCGATATGTTTAGCTTGTTTGTTAACTTATTGTTTGGTTTAGTTCGCTGTTTTCTTGAAGCTCGTCCATCACTCCAGTGTCTCTGCAGGCCACCACACAGTGATTAGTGGCCAAACTCGCCGGGAGCTGCTTTGTGGCCATCCCCTTATCTCGCCGGAGCAGCGCTTGTTGGTGTTGTTTCGTCGAGTAGTAAAATACGGAGATCTATTGCCTCACCGCTTTTAATGATCTCATTTTCTCCATGCCTTTTCTTTCCTTATGTGTACAGTTACTTTAACGATTAGAGCAGAGAGGCAGGCAGGCTCTCTCTCTCTCTCTCTCTCTCTCTCTCTTGCTTTCTCTCTTTTTCAACACTTAAGTTGTATTTCTTTGTGCTGTAATCCTCCTGCAGCCTTTCTCACTAAAGCGTCAGATAATTCTACCTAACAACACGCAGAGGGAAAGCAATTTCTCTGAATCTTATTAATCTATTTGTCACCTATTTCAGTGTGTCTCGGGCTACGTCTGTCATTTAAACGTCTAGAATCAGATCAGTTGGCTTCTCAGTGTAATGAAAACAGAGAGAAGTGTTGGGGATCAACGTGTTTCTACCCGGCTTTCCAGAAATACCAGGCGAAACTACAGTGCCAAAGAACCCAATCCCGACACACAATGGAGGAGCCCAGATCACTCAGAGCATTATCCAGGCAAGTTCAGCTGGAGTCTTTCAAAGAGAGAGAGAGAAGTCTGAGAGGGAGTTAGAGAGCAAGAGAGAAAACGTGAGAGAGGTAGACAGAAAGAGACAGTGAAAGAGACAATGAGAGAGAAAGTGTGTGAGAGAGAGAGAGAGAGCGAGAGAGAGAGAGAGCGAGAGAGAGAGAGAGAGAGAGAGAGAGAGAGAGAGAGAGAGAGAGAGATTGAGAGAGAGAGCGAGAGAGAGAGCGATAGAGAGAAAGAGACAGCGAGAGCGAAAGCGAGAGAGAAAAATAAAGAGTGTTTGTGAATACATGGTCCTCTCTCCAATTCATTTACCACCACACTTGTCCTCATCCTCTTGGCAGAAAATATTTCTGCTAGCTGACACGTAGTAGAAAGGTCACGTTCCAATGACGACACAGCACTTGTCAACAGATTGAACACTTGAGTGAAGCCTGCTGCCAGAGACTATCATGGATTCCAAGGCAACACCACTTTCTTCAACAGCCTTTCTAATCCAGCCTCACTGACATGGCTTCCACTTTTAACTGCTGGACATTCACTGAAGCAATTCAAGTTACATGCTACTCTCCAATCCTCCAAGCTCAAGGGTCCAACAGGCAGCTAACACCCCTGATCCAGAATCAGCCACCTGTGCCTTAGTGCCTGACATGGTCATGGACCATCTCCATATGTACACCATGCTGCTAATCCAGAAAACCAAGAGGGACATGTCCCCAAGAGAGGAATATTTCAGAATGCCAAGAGAGGGACATGCAGTTCCATCCTTTCTATGGCTGGCCTCAATGGGGCCAGGGAGCATGTGGCTGGTTCAGGAGAGCAGACTATGACATTCACCTCAGGAGCCAAAGGATCAGATCCCGTATGTGTTCAATTTCCATCTCCATCCTTCCTAGGGCTCTCCCCGAGTGGGCACCAGTCAAAGGATTATGTGGCTGGTTCTACACTGTATGACATAACCAAAGGATCACTTGTGGGTCTCATCTCCATCCTTCGTTCCTATAGGGCTCACCGAGAAGGGCCACCAGTCTAGGAAGAATGAAATGTGATTGGATGGTAAGTAAGCTTTCAGCTCATGAGCCTGAGATTCCCTGGGCGCATCAAACCAGGTGGTGAGATCAGATCCAGCCCAGCTCCCTGCCATCGGGGGAGATGGAGGGGAGGGATGGAGGGAGAGATGGTGGTTAAGAGCTTCACTCGACATGAACGCCACCACAGGGTCTGCCAGCACCTCACCTTGGCAGCATCTCACCTAAATAGGCTGGACACGGAGAGAGGAAGATAAAGGGGGAGACGTGATGGCAATTAAGAAGGAGAGGGGAGAAGGAGAGAGAGGGAGGGGGCATGCTGGCAGGAGAGAAAGGGAGAGGGTAAAAGGAGAGAAAGAGACAGGGAAAGAGAGGAGGGTAAGCACAAAAGGACGAGGGAGAGAGGGAGAATTTTCAGTATAAGTCCTCTGCAGCAACGTTCCTGCCAAGCTTCCTGGACAGGCTGCCTCTGTGTTGGATGTGAGCCCTAGAACGTTCAGGACAAACCACCACCCTGATCCCTGATTGGATGTGAGCCCCAGAACGTTCAGGACAAACCTTCACCCTTCAACCTGAATGGAGTCCTAGAATGTTCAAGAGAATCCACCTCTCTGATCCCCACCTAACATCACCGGCTCAGTGCACCCTCATTAGCTGTACATTTCCATTTCAGACTCCATTACACTCACAAAGTAGATTATGTTTTTGGGGTGTTTTTTAGAGAAGAAAACATTGCCATATTAGCAAATTGTGTGTGTGTGCGTGTGCATGCGTGTGTGTGTGTGCGTGTGTGCGTGTGCGTGCTTGCACGTGCGTGTGCGCATTCGCGTGTGTGTGTGCGTGCGTGCGTGCTTGTGTGCGTGTGTGTGTCTGCACCTGTAGACTATAGTATGTAGGTCACCGGACACACTTGGCCAATTTGAGTCTCTCTCTCTCTTTCTCTCTCTCTCCCTCTCTCTGCTCGGTAAAGTTAAAGCTTGTCTGTTCAGGTATTGCATCCAGGCCCATTGCACGGCAGTCGATGTCAGTTAGAGACCTCCATGGGACTTAAAGTTGTTTGTGTGAGACGGCGGCTATCTAGTTGAAATAGAGTTGATTAATTGGTTTGGAGAGAGTCTAAACCCTTGATTGATCGCAGGACTCCTCTACTGTTCATCAAATGTCACTGGGGCGTCAGGCATCTTGGCAGGGAATTTGTGTGTCCCTGGAAGAGGGTCAGTGGAGTTCAGGTTGAGCACATCACAGACACACAGAGATTGAAAATAAAGTGAAGAATTATACAACCATGACCCCCCCCCCCCCCCCCCCCCCCCCCCCCCCCCCCACAGACACACATTCTAAAATTGCATTTTTGTTTCCAGTCCCCAGATTTAAAAAAAATAAAAAGCGCCATTGGTGTGGTTTAGGACCATGCAGACACCTCAGAGATGTCGGTAAGCTGTTTGGTGGTTTCAGACGGCTGGATTTAGGACTGGAGGATACCACAGAGCATGCAAACAGGCTGTGTGAAGGCAAAGCTTCTGAAAGACTGGATCAGCACAATGCTGCTGTCTGCAGCTGCTGTCTGTACGTGTTGCACTTTTTCTCCCAGTTGTAAAAAAACAAACATGCAGAGCAGAAACTGGCTACTCTTTAGTTGACTGATGCAGCTGGCAAGGTAATTGCTGTACGATTTAACAGAAAATAAAGTATTTACAGTGAGGGAAAAAAGTATTTGATCCCCTGCTGATTTTTGTACGTTTGCCCACTGACAAAGACATGATCAGTCTATAATTTTAATGGTAGGTTTATTTGAACAGTGAGAGACAGAATAACAACAAAAAATCCAGAAAAACACATGTCAAAAATGTTATAAATTGATTTGCATTTTAATGAGGGAAATAAGTATTTGACCCCTCTGCAAAACATGACTTAGTACTTGGTGGCAAAACCCTTGTTGGTAATCACAGAGGTCAGACGTTTCTTGTAGTTGGCCACCAGGTTTGCACACATCTCAGGATGGATTTTGTCCCACTCCTCTTTGCAGATCTTCTCCAAGTCATTAAGGTTTCGAGGCTGATGTTTGGCAACTCGAACCTTCAGCTCCCTCCACAGATTTTCTATAGTATTAAGGTCTGGAGACTGGCTAGGCCACTCCAGGACCTTAATGTGCTTCTTCTTGAGCCACTCCTTTGTTGCCTTGGCCGTGTGTTTTGGGTCATTGTCATGCTGGAATACCCATCCACGACACATTTTCAATGCCCTGGCTGAGGGAAGGATGTTCTCACTCAGGATTTGACGGTACATGGCCCTGTCCCCTTAGCAGATAAACACCCCCAAAGCATAATGTTTCCACCTCCATGTTTGACGGTGGGGATAGTGTTCTTGGGGTCATAGGCAGCATTCCTCCTCCTCCAAACACGGCGAGTTGAGTTGATGCCAAAGAGCTCGATATTGGTCTCATCTGACCACAACACTTTCACCCAGTTCTCCTCTGAATCATTCAGATGTTCATTGGCAAACTTCAGACGGGCCTGTATATGTGCTTTCTTGAGCAGGGTGACCTTGCGGGCACTGCAGGTTTTCAGTCCTTCACGGCGTAGTGTGTTACCAATTGTTTTCTTGGTGACTATGGTCCCAGCTGCCTTGAGATCATTGACAAGATCCTCCCATGTAGTTCTGAGCTGATTCCTCACCGTTCTCATGATCATTGCAACTCCACGAGGTGAGATCTTGCATGGAGCCCCAGGCAGAGGGAGATTGACAGTTATTTTGTGTTTCTTCCATTTGCGAATAATCACACCAACTGTTGTCACCTTCTCACCAAGCTGCTTGGCGATTGGTCTTGTAGCCCATTCCAGCCTTGTGTAGGTCTACAATCTTGTCCCTGACATCCTTGGAGAGCTCTTTGGTCTTGGCCATGGTGGAGAGTTTGGAATCTATTGATTGATTGCTTCTGTGGCCAGGTGTCTTTTATACAGGTAACAAACTGAGATTAGGAGCACTCCCTTTAAGAGTGTGCTCCTAATCTCAGCTCGTTACCTGTATAAAAGACACCTGGGAGCCAGAAATCTTTCTGATTGAGAGGGGGTCAAATACTTATTTCCCTC